ACTAGCATATAAACCGTTTCAAGTTCGGTTTTTAACTAATAAACTTGTGCTTTCATTATTATTTACAGTTGAATATTTCTAAAGCAAACATGTTTTTCATTAATTAACTCTAATTAATTGTGCACAAACAAATAAGTAAACTTATTCACACAACAGTATTAGTACAACAAAGCGAAAATAACGCAATCGTTTTTACTTGTAAGCCACTTAAATCATTTATTTAGTTTATTGGATTTAAGTTATTTATTTAATGAACAATATCAAATTTTGAAAGGTAAAAAGGCATAATAATACGAGTACATGCGATTACACTAGAATGCTTAAATATTTTATTACATACGCGCATAATTTATTATTTGACATGTTGCCCTTCCGCCAGCGGCATTTAAAAGTCTGATTTGTCTTTTTCAACTGATAATAAAACCATTAATGCATTAATGTGACTTAAATACAAATTATTTCGTCTGCTCAATTTTGAAAAAAAAAAGAAAGCAGCATTTTTGCTTCCTAACGACTTTATTTACGATTGCGTTTCCTTTCCTGGCTTAAACGCTTTAAACATTCAAATAGCTGTAGCTTGAATTTTAAGCAACTTCCTCGACCGCAAACAGCACAGCAGTTGCAAACCAAAGTCTGACAAGCAATGAGCTACTGCCTCCATCATTTCCCCCCCACCAGCATCATGGTCACCACCATCATTGGGACAGCAGAGCGTATAAATTGTCGCAATCAAGCAGCGCCAACAACACACGCAAACCCCAAAAAAAAAAAACGGAAAAAGAAATAGAAAAGAGCAAAACCTACAGCAAGATGAATTACTGCAAATTATCCTGTTAGGACTTGGGTGCTGAGTTTTTGAAACAAAGCCATAGATGCGGCTCACAACTAACCGGGCGACCAACTGAAGAGCTGACGAGCTGAAGAGCTGAAGAGCTGCCTGCCTGACGCTTTAACGAGCAGTCGTCAATGGCTGTTGTCGGTGTTTGTAGCAACGCCCAGCGCACAGTATACAGTTTTGAAATTTGTAATAAAAAATAACTAGAGAAAGTTTTCGCATAAATGGTTTCCATTTTCCAATGCACTTAAATGCTTTGAAATAGACGCAATGGGGTCAAAGATTCCCATTATTTTGTATTTATTACCCCTTTCAATTATTTTCTTTTAGTTAGGAATTATTTTAATTTAGCTGATTTCTATCATTACACACTATGTGTCCTTTTATTATTAAAGCCTTTACTCAAGTTTCCAGATTTGCTCACTTCATTTATTTGTATTTTGTAACTAATATTTCTGTTTTAACTTCTTAACTCAGCGGTTACTTGTATCTTTCAAGATTGTGTTTTTCAAATAATATAATTATGTTGTTTCTATAACTTAGATTAAAAACCAGCAAGCGGTACGCTTTAAAGCATCAGCCAAAATATTATAAATTCTCATTGCCTGCCAAATTGCTCAGATCATGTTAATGTGTGTCAGTCAAGAGTGCATTTATTTGACTTTAATGAGGGTTTCCGTTTCCTTCGCTTCCTTACCTGCCTTATTCAAATGAAACTCCAATCAATAGCGTTTTAATGTCATCTCATCAATGAATGCACCCCACTGTGCGATAGCTGCTGTTTTAAGTTGAAGCATTGCCTACTTTTAGGCAGCTTTGCGTGTGCTGGTGTGCGTTGAGAGCATAAATAAAAATCACCCGCAGCACTTTTGTTGTATGGTGTTGTATATGTGTGTTCTGTATTGTACATTCATTAATGTCAGGCGCAGAAGTTGCCGCTGCGACTGTGGCAGCATCGTCTTCGTCTAGCACTCGCATAATGTGCCGCAGAAACACATAAAATACTTATATATAGAGTGAGTGAGAGCGAAGGAGTGAGTGACAGGAAGAGAGAAAGTGAAATGTCTATGGCTGTCGCCAATGTCTGGTCGGTTGTCGGCGCGTCTGTTTTATATAACGATTACGATAATGAAGCGGCAAGCGCTCATTTTCAGCGGGCACAGCATTTTTCCAAACACACACACACATACACACACGCACACACAAATATATACACACATATACACGAAACTACCAAATGAGCCAAAGGAATGGCCAAAGGAATTGCTGGCGTCTGGCGTTGATGGCTTTTTGAAGTTGTGACTGCTGGCTGCTCGCTGGGCCCTGACTATGACACCACTGTCTGTAACTGAGGCTGTGACCAGGCAGACTGCCTGCTGAAATGATTGGGGATTATGACGAATTAATGAATTCAGATTTAAATAAAATTACGCGAAAGCGCGCTCAACTGCCTCTCCGCTCCAATGCTGCTTACCAGCTTGTTAGTGGCAACCACAGCCTCCGCCTCCGCCGATATATTTCCGCTTTTGGTGTACATTTAACGTTCGCTAATAGAATTAAAGTTTGCGGTTGCATAATGAGCCAGCATGGGGGCGTTGGCGAGGGGGCGTGGCTCAGCAATAGCATAATTATGACAACAGAATGCGCGCGCGTTCGCCATTTTGCCATTTGGCCATTTTAGGCTTTGGCCATCACGTAGCCAATTGACAATTAACGATAAATGCCAGTTAACAGCAGCAGCAGCGGGACGAGCAGCACAAATATATGTATGTACGAGTGTGTGTGTGTGTTTTTGTGTATCGGACTGGTATGTGTGCGTTGTAATCGCTGTTTATTTGCACTTGTATTTGCGTAGTTTGTGTTGCTGTTGTTGCGCAAAAACTTTGCCGCACGCTCGCTTAATTAACAACAACAATTGCTGGCTCTTCCTCTGTTCGCACGCCTTTCTGCACTTTTGCGCAGGTAATTTTTGTCTCGTTTTGCTGCTGTAACCTTCGCCCTCTGCCACATACCGTTTCATTGTGTTGTTGTTGCTGCTTCTGTTGCTGTTGCTTTTGTTGGGCATTGTTGTTGGGCGTTTGTTAATTGAAAAACAATGTTGTTGCCACTGCGGTCGCACACTGCACTTCAAGGGAGCTGTGAAACACAACTCCAATTTCGATCTGACCAACAACAATGCATCCTTGGTCTCCAAACTATCCAAATCTCTAGGAATACTTATGCGTAAATACCTAAGGGTATTGTAAATCAGCTACAAATTCAAATTTATATTAATAGTAAACAGTAATTAGAAATATGTATAAATAATAGACTTATTTTTTAATTGCATTAATGGACATGGTCTAAAGATATTCGTGTGTATCATAATATTACTATCAAAGTTGACATGTCCATTGCCAATTCCAGCCATACACTAAACAACCCGATTTTGTTGTCAAGTAGTGTTAAGTGCTTAAGCAATTAATAATAATATCATCGGTTTCAATTAATTGATTCTTGAGCCCTTTTTTGCACTTTTATTGAATATGATACAAGTACTGTGCAATTTTCAATTTGATTAAATTTTTTTTAATAAATAAATGAATTAAGAAACTCACAAATGTGGGCAACATATTGATTTGTTATATCAGACATTGCCTCCAAATAAATAAATAATAAATAGGAAACAAATCGAAACCTTTCGTTAGCCTTTGTACATACGAGTATTGATGTTGGGCCGCAATAATTACTAAATAAACATATTTAACTTATACGAGCACATAATTAATATTCATTATAAAATCAAACATTTACAGCAAGTCTTTTATTTATATATACTACGTTGCAGATGCAATTTTTGTATGAATATAATTTTTAGTTTACTTGCTGTCTACCAGCACCCTTTTCATTATAATCCTCACTATCCATATCAGTCGAAGATAGTTAATGGAAGCTTTAAATCAATTGATTTATAGTCTTACCCCAATGTGCGTTGCCTGTTGGCTTAATTAATTTTTATAAGGCCACGGCCGCGACGCATTTTTAATTACAATGCAGCTGCCTTAAGCGCATTGATTAAGTTTAATCAATGGCCATATCACCTACTTGGGCAGCTCATTAAAAGCCCCGTCGCAGTGGCTTTGACAGCCCAACTCGCTAATTGCAGAAGTTGGCAAGAAGTTGGAAAAGAGAGCACCATAGTAAAATATTGTATGGCCAAAAGCGCACGTACAACAAAAACCGTATCAATTAAAATATCAAAAGGCGCTGAATCAAAGCACCCCAGTGACAATGCACCAGGCACCCAGTTAGTCATTCGGTCAGTTAGTCATTCAGTCATTCAGTCGCGTCATTTGCTCTGTTACAATAATGAGCCAACTTCAAAGTCAGTCAGTTAGTTGGTTAGTTAGTTGCTTGCTTGCTTGCTTTCTTGACTTCAGTCAACTATCATTATAAGTTCTTTAGCGCCATAATGGGCAAAACTTTTACTGTTATTCACATTGTGTGCGTGTGTGTGTGTGTTTGAGTGCGTATTGTGCGCGACTGGTGTTGCAATTAGCAGTTTTGTCCGCAGCCAAAAAATAAAGTAAAATAAAATAAACCGAACACATTTATTTCTGTCATTAATTAAGCATCGACTGAAAACGTAAATGCAAAACGTAAATGCAAAATTTCTATTTTGCCAAAGCGTTCATTTATCAACAGTATGCAATCAAAGGGACGAGGAAGAGTTCAGCAGTTTATTCGAAAAATCATTTCAATTTAAATGCAAACTGTTTTTAACGGGTGAACAAATTGTATAAACGCTTTCCACTTATTTAACGACCAATGGAAAATATAATTTAATAGAGATAGAGAGTCCCTTTAATCAATTTTCTAACTTACTAATGTAGACTAAGTATATACTATGTATATTCGATGGATTACATATTTTAAATATTGGTAGCATAAAATATTATTGAAATATCATTCTTTATATAAAACAAATTAATTTGATGGAGAAGTGCTTGAAGCATTCTTCAAAAAGGCCTTTTGCAAGTTCAATCTTAATTTGGACTTTTTTGTAACTATAATTAATGATTAGAATAGTTGTTAGTTTGCTTAAGTCAACAGTTCTAACAATATATGTATACTTGTATGTCAATGCATAATACTTATTTCTTGATTCTCGCTTCCTTTCTTGCAGATCGAAGATGCCATGCTGATGTTTGATAAGCAGACCAATCGGCACAGAGGTGAGTTGCACAAATATACGAGTATAGTATATGCTCTTACTTCCCATATAAATGAACACACATGCCCATGACAATAAAGCATCGCATTTCAAATGTCAGATACAAAAATGCTTATACACTTGCTGCTGGCTTCCTGCCTTTAACGATGCACGACGTGGCCGGAAGTGTGTGTGTATGTATGTATGTGTATGTATGTACATATGTGTCATTCCCAGCACAAATGTATGGATATGTGCACGTCTGTGTGCGTGAAGGTATAAACTGCTAATACAGTTTTAAAACGTAACTGGTCTCAGGCATTAAAATGACTAGCTAGCGGAAGTAGACCCAAAAAGATTACCTTACCTGGATGCCTGGTTGCCTGGTTGCTGGATGCCTGACTCTTGCAATGCAACCGGATATAAGAAACGAACAGACAGACAGACAGACACGCATACATATAGTCAGACTCATACACACATATGGCCAAGGGACCACATTGGAAAAAGCAAAGGCTTAAATCTATAGCGCACATCCGTTGTTTTTGTTGTTGCTATTAACCATGAGCGCGCTGCGCACGACTGCGCCATGACTTCCATGGCTTCTGTTCCGCAGGCTCTGTCCGCTCCTCCAGCTTCTTCGCTTCCTTGTCGCCCATCTCTCAGGTAGTCAGTAGCATTGTCAGGGTCCTGCTGTCGTTGCCATTGTCAATTTTGCTTATTAAAGTTTTAAATGACGCGCCGAAATTCGCAATGCGTACACACACAAACACATTCCCATACGAGTACAAACCAAACGAGCAATAGAGATGAGCGCTAGTATTATATCCTGTAAAGGGAATATTATTGCAAAGTTCTTGTACAGCTCAATAGTTATTTATTTCATTGTTAACTTATTCGCAACGTAGAGGGCGAATGCTACAGAAATTACACGTATTCAAATCTTAAATAAATAAACATCAACTACAGAAATTTTGACTAACGGCTCCCAGTCGATAGGGAACTGTTACTTGCCCCAATTCAAAGCCAAACATCTTCAGACGAGTACCTGCTATTTTGTTTTTAAGAGAAAGATCAACAACAATAGAAATATAAATAATATTTTCAATAAAAAAGACCACTACATAAAACGGAACAGAAGCAATATGTTTTAACACATAAAACACCTCTAACACAGTCGAACATAACATATTCGTATACAGATTCAATTTTTCCTGACTTCAACTCAACTGTTGAGTTTTGATAATATCGTTTGTTCTCATTTTAGTTGTTTTTTAATGCAATCAATTAAATGAATTAAATATAAATATTAGAAGGAATAAAGCAAACGAAGAAAGCTCCGGCTATATTGGCTTTTTTGACTGTCCCTGATCTGCTCAGTCCAATTAGAACCTATTCGTTTTCATTCCAGTTCTTTATCAACAGCTAGAAGAAGGCAAGGCCACGCCAGATAAGCTCTTTCCAAATTTCATCTTGAAAGCATATCTTAATAGAGCTTAAGCTCTCTTATCTTAGCAGAAAATTTAAATTTTAATGGAAGTACGGGTATAAAGCAGAGCAACAGTGTATTTATTATTTAGATTTTCGTGCTGTTAGACATATTTGTTTAAGTGTTTTCCATCTCTAATGCACACACAGACACAAACTCACACACACAATCACACGCTCACTCTCTCGAGTGGACAAGCAGAGTTGCGCGCCAATTGACATCTGGCAGTCCTAGCATCTGAGCTCAGGTCACATTAAGATTGATGTGGGCCAACCTGACACGCACACACACACACACACAGGAAGAGAGACATATACACACGCACAAGCATGCTTGCACACCAATGCTGCTGGTGCATAAAAGTAATTAGCTGCAACAGAAACAAGAAACATGAATCGATAGTTGCCGTTGCTGACGACTTTGCTGACCAATGTCAGAAAATGAACAAACCCCACCTCCATTTCCACCTCCCAAAACAAAAAAACAAAAACAAAATAGCCCCACACCCACTGACGAATACAATAAAACGCGAGTAGCTGTATGGAAATGGCAGTTTCGACTCTTGTTTGTGTTGTTGTTGTTTTTCCTGTTGCTGTTAACTCTGCGCAAAAATTACGCACACGGGAATAAGAAAACATGATTTTTGGTTGTGGCAATAAAAAATTGTAGCATACTTCTGAGAGCCGAATGCAAAAAGCGCGCCCGCGCGAAAACCGTGCGAGATAAACGAAACAGGCCGCGCCAAAAACATTTCGCTTAATTGGACACTGAAATATGTTTTGATAAAACAAAAAACTTTACAAGTTCCAAAAATAAGTTATAGCCAAAGGCATATAATAGTGCAAATAAACCCAATTACAAACCGATTTCTTGAAATGAAAGTTAATATTTTCAACAAAGCATTTATTGACACAGCGTTTATTTTAAAAATGATTTAATAGCTAAATAGAAAATGAAAGAAAAAAATGTTGCCAATGTTTATTTGTGAAATTTAATGAAAAACTATGCATCTCTTTTAAAATGAATTGCAATTTTCCAACCTATATTCAATATTAACCATTATTTATAAATATGCATATGTAAATAAAGGATCAAAAAGTCTACAAAAATAAAGCAGATGCGAGAAAAGCTAACAGAATTTAATTCTGCTCTGCTTAGCATAGTAATTTCCAAAAGTCTGCTACTTTTTTTGATACACCACATGTGTTTGCATTTATAAAAACCATTTCAATTGCCTCGTTCTTTTGTCCAAATACTAATCCCAACTAATGTATGTAGCCTATTGTCGTCACATGTGTCCGCAATGGCATTTTCATGGTATAGCCTTATTAAACATGTTGCAATGTTATTGGCAAAATGGGAGAATAAAACAGAAACAATAAAAAAGGAGCAAACCAAAAACAATTGCATATTAAAAATGCAATTTGAAGCAACGTTTTAGTTATTGACAAGAGCGGTCCTAACTATGCAGTAGGCGCTTGTCATTTTGCAAATTACAATTGCGTGGGTTCACTGAGGGACAGTTTGAAAAGCTTGAATGGCTCGGGCAGCTGTCCAAATGCCGCACAGGACAAGTAGCAGTGCAGAGATAGGAGGGTAAGAAAGAGGGAAAAAGCAAGGAAAAGAAAAGAACACACATATAATGAAATATGCAGACATTGTTAGTTAGCAGCGCCCGACGACCGGACGACCGGACGTACGGACATACGGCCAACTGCCCAACTTCACAGCGTACGTGCAAGAGGTCCGCATCTTCCCCCTCTCCCCACAACCAACATGGTGCCCTGAGTCAATAGCAAATGTGTGTCGTTAATCAAAGGGTATTAGTTGTAGCAGCAGTAGCTATATAGCCTTCATTGCCACGCCGACGACAACGACAACGACGACTTTTTGTACAGTTGGACGATGGACGACCTTTTGCCACGACGTTCACTGCCCGTCCAGCTTCAGATCCCTTGCCATCCTCCACTGCCTACTGGCACTTGCGATATGCCTGTAATTGCATTTTATCGATCCGCGCGCCTCATTCTGTGTGTGTGGGGTACGTGTGGCACTACGTGGCAATATTCAATGCACAGAAAAAAAAAAAAAAGAATGACGCGCAACTATAATAAAGAAAGGAAAAGAGCAAAAGACGCTCCTCACTACACGGTTGCAAGTTTGTTACTCATTCATAAATCATGTGTGTGCACGGACGGACGCACAGAGGGGTAGCCGAATGGACGGACAGACAGACAGACACATAAGCCTGGTCACTAAAATTGCAACGACGTTTTCGAACTGCCCACACAGACACTCGCACGCATACGTACAAATGCTTATGAACAGTTGGTCACAGTTGGCCTAAAAGCCACGACACAGTTGGCGCATTGCAAGTCGAGCGTTTTATGTTTTTCAAAAGCTATATGAATATGCCATAAAACAATATAGGCAGCAGTAGCAACAGCAACAACTGCAAATATGTAGTCACACATACATACATACATAGTACGTTCGTACTGACAAATGTCTGTCCGTACAACTCCCAAGCCCAATATAAGCAGCGCCCCAAAAACTATGCTATGAATTTCATTTGGCAAGCCAAGGACATGCACATCGTGCTGCGCTCTAGAGCTAAGCAAAAACAACAACAGCAACAGTGGCAGTGGCAGCAACTGGAACAACTAGAACAACAATTTGGCTCACTCACTGGCTAACCGGTCGGTGTTTGTTGGCCTGTCTTGCCCTTACCGGCCTGCCTGCCTGCCAAGCTGTTGGCAGAGCCGCCACCATCGGAGGCCACTAATATTAAAATTGAAAATTTTGTAATTTTTCTTTTTGGCAAGCCCCCCGCGAAGTAGCAACAGAGGTGCAAGAAGAAGAATGAATAGTCATAACAGCTGCCACGTAGGTGTTTAGTACACTGAGAGAACACAAAAATATGGCAACATTCATCCGTATTGTCTTTTATTTGTTGCTCGCTTTCATACTTTCTCCCTGAGTTTTCGACTATATGTTCAGTATTCAAACAAATACATCAAATACGTCAATACATATCGATTACTGAATGTATTTTATATCATTTTTTATCTGATTACTGGCTTCTTCTACTACTTCTACTTTATTAGCAGACTACATAAAAACAGCAGTTATTTGCAGGATGAAATACACGTGCTTATCCAATTTCTTAAGACAGAATATTTATTGATATTTTTTATTTTTATTATAATAAACTAATTTAACAAATTTTGATGTCCGTACATATAACATTAAAGATGTTTTATATATAATACGAGTATATTACAATAAAGATATACAGGGTGCGCCATCTTTTATGTCGGTATGCAAACATTGAATATCCTTGAAAATAAACAACCGATTTTCAAGTATGAGATATTTTTATTTAATTTGGTTCTGTACAATTTCTTGAACTGAGGTTTTCAACACTGGTCTAGTCCTGGTCAAGTCAATCGGTTCACTAATGACAAAGTTATTCAATATCTACATACCGACATAAAAGATGGCGCACCCTGTATAATAATACTAAGTGCCTTCGCCACGTTGGGAATTTTATTTGCCATTTGGCTAGCTATGTCCTAATTCACAGCTATATGTGATCAGACATTGAGAAGCTTAATTTAAACACAAATTAATTATATTATTCCAATATATATATGAATCCAAAAATAATCAATAATAAACAATCATTTGAAATAGAGCTTGCTTTTTTTAAAGGACGTAATTATTTAGTTGGATTTATAACGAATAGAACATCTACAGCCAGCTTAGCTTCCCCAGACTATATAAAGAAATAATAATAAAAGCGCAATGTTTGAGTTCAGGAATCATAAATATTTGGCACATGAGAAGAAATTGATATAAAGAAAAATCTATGAAGTATTTTTATTCGACAATAGCTTTGGCAATAGCTGAATAATAACAAATTAGGGACCATCTACCCTACAATAAATTAAATAGCCTGTCGCTGAGCACTTGCAGTGTAGATACAAGTATGTCTGAAATGTTTTAAAGACAATCACTCAACTCTCTAATTCTAAATAAAATGAACCGTTTCGTTATAAAAGTTTTTCCTACTCGAAATTCAACAAAAACCAACCACCGGAAACTCAATAGATCCCTAATTTAAAGTGATTTTTTTCAAGTGCATATATCAATGGTTTTCTTTTTGGTTTTGTTATTGCTGCTACCTTTTGGCTCCGGCTCATACTCTGTGCAATAACATGCATGAGTGTGCAATTTTTGCACTGCCATCGGTGCCATCGCAACGGCTGCCGCATTCGTCGTCCTACGGGAAATTTCGACAGGTAAAAATGGCGGCCGCAAAGCAGCAAAATTAACTAGATAGAATGAAGGAGCAATATCGGGCGGGCAAGGAAAAGATGGAAAACGAAGCCAACAAAGCTGGCCTGGCTATGCATTGTCGAGCATTTTTCATGCTGCCCCAGCACATTTGTAACTATGAGATACATTTTTGATTGAGTTGCTGCCGCGAGCCAAAAAATTGTTGGTCTAGCAGTTGCCGCGGCTCATTTGTTTCAAAATGTGAGAATGTGTTTAGACGAGATCGTGTGTGTGTGTGTGTGTGTGTGTGTGTGTGTGTGTGTGCTGTGATTTATGAGCAACGAGCAGCGTGGCACGTGCAACTTGCAACGTGCGCTAATTTTATATAATTAAAGTAAACACACAGACACACACGCAAACACACACACCCACACACACACAGTTCTCTGCACGCCAGCAGCTGCAAACATGGGCGGGCGATTGTCTCTCGACGCCGTATACAAAGTGCAAATAAAAGTGGCGAGTACTGCTTTTTACTGCCACAGTTACTGCCACTTTCTGTTGCGCTGCTCTCTGTCGTCGCTAATAAGCCGCCACCCAACGCCAGCTTGTTTTGTCCTTACTTAGCCGCTTGTTTCAACTAATTTGTCAGTTCCGCTTCCACCCGCATGCCATTCACAAAGACCAAGCTGGATCGGAAGGAGATATGGAGGGAGCAAAAGCAAATAGTAGCCAAGCTTTCGTTCTTATTCTCCTCTCCTCTCCTCTTCCCTTCCCTGGACTCCCCTCGAATCTCCACATTGCAATAGAGCGTCAGGTGTCTGCTCTTGGCCTTGCTAATTGCACTGCCATGTGAAATCGCAGACAATCGCGCTAATTGAAAACCCAAATGGGTGGCCGGCCTTTCGATAAGGTAAAGCCGTTCAACTTATGTTTATAAGTGGCACCAAATCCCGAAATTCCTTTTTTAATGCTTTGGTCAAAATGCATTTTGACGGCGGGAGAAGAAACGTAAACAGTGTCACGGAAAAGTTAGATAACAAGTCGAGATAAAGTAAAAGCCCTTCAAACATTAAAAATTAATAAGGCCCCTTCTTGTTTTCAAAAACTTTTTCAACCTAAAGCTAAAAACTCTCGTACATGGGTTTCTTTAAACTGCGTGGTTCAAGCGAAAGAATAGAAAGATGCTTCGCATCCCACAAAATTTGAAACCGCATTTCGACTTCCGTCAGTTGCCTTCACATCGCCAACAAGTTATTCGATGGCTTAGTTAGTTAGTTATTATCCAGTAAAAGAGCTTTTAAGGCTTATCGTTTTTTATTTAAACGGCATTAGCAGCGCAATATGCGCGCGTTTTAATTACTTTTGTAAAAATGCTCCCTAAATGAATACAAATTATGCAGCCCATTTGCTTTGTTTTGCATTGAAATGGACGAGTTTCACGGGTAAACATTTTAAACACAAGTGTGTGTTTAATTACAACTGACACACAATTATTTAGGCATTTATTCTAATTAGCTAATAAGCAAAAAATACTTCTACGTGTGTTGATATATGTTGGCCATAACTTTAAAATGGCTGTTATAATGTTTTTTAAAAAAAAAAAACTTTTTTCACCGCATTTCACAATCCGAATCAATGGATCGGACCGGAACCCTATCCTTTTTTCAAGCGTATCGAAAAACAACCAAAAACAAAATGTTTAATAAATGCGAAACGATAACGATTTTTAGTGTCCATATAAAGTGAATTTAAATTTCTGCTATCTATTCAAAAGGAGTCGAGTTATAATCAATATTATTTATATTCTTAAAATCTGGAACTTAAAATGTTTTTTTATTTCCGACATGAAAAGAAAATGATGAAAAACGGAACTTATTAATAATTAATTAAATTGGAGTAAACATACAAAGTCCATATAAAATTCAAATTATATTCAACAATATCGTCCGGGTTCTTGGACTCGAAAACGAGTTCTAGATGAAGCATTTAAACTGAATTAACAAAAATGTTCGGTTGTATTTTCAGTACAGACACAAAAAAGCAAACATTTTCTAATTAGCCCGGAGTTCAGCTGTACAAGTACAAGTATAACTTAAATAGTTGTACGTAGTATTGATTTTTGCACTGCCAAAAAAATTACTTAATTTAAGCCACTGTGAGACGTTGATTCTGGGCTGGCACAAGTGGCCGACACAGCTGGCAGCGTTGAGCGTCTGACTGGAGCGCCACTTGAGAGTTGGCGCGAGCGCATATTGAGGTCAGGCGAAGGAATGGGAACGGGTGCACGGGTACGGGTACGGGTATGGGTGCAGATGAGAATGCGGATGCGAATGCGGGCAGAGATGGGCAGAGGCGGGCAGTCTCAGTCTCGAGCCCTGCTCGACCACTCGACACTTGAGTAAATTATTTAGCCCGCACACAAAGCATATTTCGTTCAATTTTTGCAGCAGCGGCAGCAGCAGCTGCTGCTTTTAACTATTTTTGCAGTAGTACTTAAACTTATACTTTTTTTAACCCTCCACTCTGCGTTCTGTTTTCTATTTTTGCAGGTTTTGGCTTCGTTACATTTCAAAGTGAGGATGTGGTAGACAAAGTTTGTGAAATTCATTTCCATGAGATAAATAACAAAATGGTAAGTCAACGCAGTAGGGGCCTTAAAACGAGAGAGCGTTGAATCTACAACTTGTTCTCCTTCTTCTCATTCCACCCCCCCTCCCATTCGCGCGAAAAGGTGGAGTGTAAGAAGGCGCAGCCCAAGGAGGTGATGCTGCCGGCAAATCTGGCCAAGACTCGTGCGGCCGGTCGTTCTGCTTACGGTGAGTTGGTAGTTTGGGGCCGACATACAAATATGGTGGCAGGCCAGGCGGTTTCTGGCCTCCTGCCCAATAGTTTAGGTGCGGCGGCCACATCGCAGGTGGCCGCTGCTGCCGGTCTGGGTGCGGCTCTAGTCGCACAGCATCATCAGCATCAACAGCAACAACAACAACACCACCACCAGCAGCAGCAGCAGCAACAACAACAACAACAACAAACACAACAGCACACACATCATCACCACCAACTGCTGAGCGCTGCGGCTGCTGCCCAGAATCTGAGCAATCATGCCGCCTCCTTGCGTTACACGCCATATCCGCTTCCCACGCACATTTCGGCGGCTGCTGTCGCTGCTGCCGCAGCGGCGGCCAATCAACAGCAACAGCAGCAGCAGCAGCAACAACAACAACAAGCGGTAGTTGCTGCTGCTGCTCAGCACCAGCAACAACAACAGAATTTGGCACACGCTGTGGCCGCCGCTGCAGGTGCTCCGGCGCTTCTACCGCTGACCAGCCCCGCCGCAGCCGCTGCTCCTTCGCTCTTGCAATATGCCGCGGCTGCGAACTCCCAGAGCAATGCGGTCGCGGCAGCTGCTAATTCCCTTTATGCCGACGCTGCCGCAGTTGTTGGTTATAAGCGTCTCTTGGCCGCGGCCGCCGTCAGCAGTCAGCTGCGCGCGCCGCCCTCCGCCTTGGGCGCTTTGACTGCGGCTGCAGCAACGCCAGCAGCAGCAGCGGTCGCAGCTCAGCAGGCGCAATTGCGTCACGGCACTGCAGCAGCCGCTCTAGCCGCTCACTATCCGCTCAGTGAGCTGCTATCAATGCCTGGCCTGGAGTTGCCGGGAGCGAACACAACGGCGCTTTATCAGCTGCCCGGCATCTGACCGGCACGTCCACAATGAATGCACGCACACATTCACATTCACACACACAGACACACAAATACTCTCTTATACTCTTGCATTTATACACACATACATGCATTCGAATGCATTCCGTCTCTCTGTCCAACAAGCAATATGAAAAAGAGAAACAGCATTTTAATATTAACGACTTGCTACTACCGCTACTACTACAAGTACTACTAATATTTATATGCGAACTAACTTACTTACAATTAGCCACGTAATCAGCCACATATTTTCGTATGTAATGTACAAGTATGTTCGTTTAAGCGGAAGGCCAGCAGGGCGTATGCGTTATAATTAGCCATGTTCTAGCTTCTAAGTTTCGTAATTAAGATATGCGCCTTGACGCGCATCCTATATACACTCACTTATATGGAAACCGTAGGCTAAGAGCAGACCTTGTAGAGCTGCATAGCGTTTACTTACTAGATGTTAATATTCATCGATTTATCGACTAACGATTATAGACAATGCGAGACAATGTGCCAACAACGAAACAACAAAATCAGTAACCAAGTAATGAAGCACACGTACAAAATCGGTGCTTAGACATTAGCATTATTAAAGAGTCTAGCGTAAACTGAAATGTCCTTGCAACAATCGACATGGCGAATTGTGAGTTTCAAACAAGCCACCAGGGTAGAAACCTACTATCGAAACAAATGTGAGAAAAGAGCGAACAAATTTTAGAGTCATTTTTTTACTAACCCCACTTTACACATATATTGTATTAAACGTATCTCAGACTTCTTCGAGTGCTTCATTGAATTGTTTAAATTGTTACGTCTCTGAAAGGGGATTGACTGATTGGCGCACTCAGCTTGCATCTAGAATAGTCCAGAAGTGTATTTTCTCCAATATCTTTATGAGCCTGAACCCAGCCAGAGACAAAGAAAGATTCACACAAAAGCTGTAGATTCCAATATTCACAAAGCATGTCTGAAAAGAATTTAAGAATTAAACTAAAACTACACGAACCCTGTCTGAAAAGAATTTAAAATATTTACTTAAAAGATTTCTAAAATGGAAAACACAATCCATGAATTGTCGTAGAATGTGGCATTGATTATCTGCTGCCCCAAAAAATATGTTGCAATAGCATGCAATCTTCGGCGAATCGAAGATAACGTTTAGTTTTCTCTTGTTTTCCTACAACAACAAAAAATAATAATATTTATAGAAATAAGCAAAAAAAAAAAAAAAAAACGGCATACTTTATACTTATGTGTAAGTCTTAGACAATGTACGTTTAGTACTTAAGAAATTCAAATCCAAATTATATATACATATATCATAATTGTAAAACAATGTCGCTCATTAATAATGACAAATAGCACTAATTAACTAACTAACAAATCGAATGGGATGCCGACAAATCAAAGGCATAGCAATTGACATTAGCTTCTTAGAGTTAAAACCGAGCCTTAGCCCGCTCCATATTTGTGTCTAATGCGAATTCTTGTATAATATTAACATTCTATATGCATACATACTTATACATACATATACATGCATACCTTACCATTATTTGAACGTTTATGAAGATATATATATATACAAAATAGCTAATATACAATGCAATTTCGTCGTAGCCCCAAAAACAATTTAGCAAATATTCATTAATTAGCATTTAAGTTGAACGCAAAGTTTCCATGCGGGTCTAAGTAGGCGAACTAAGCGGAGGCAAAACTTTAGTAAATATGTATACGTATTAGGTATGTGTATGTGTTTGTGTGTGGGTATGTGAGTGTGTTTGTGAATTTAAAAGATTTTAGTTGTGTATGTACGCCGCCAAGCTTGGGCAAAGATTTAGCTGTGGCTGTTCAAAGATAATGGCTACAACTTGGATTATAATAATGAAGATGATGATAATGAAGTAGCTGAAGGAATTGCAGCTGGCAGCTCGCAGCTGCCATTTAATTGTTAGACACAACTCAATGGTCTAAATTACTTCATACATATGCAATTAGCTGTAATAACAGGCCTCAGCTCAACGATTACATGCGTATCTGCTTCCACATACTACTTACTATATATATAGCGTTTAATAACAAACTAAACACGAACTTAGCCATTGGGTATACAACTAGCTACTTACATACATACATACACACATACTTACATACAATCTCACACATACTCGTATACATACTCGTGCGTACTAGTTGGTACTGTTTCTACTTATCAATTGTAATGTGTAACATTAGCCTAAGAATTAATTTAATAGCCGCCAGGAAAATCGAAAACCAACCAAACACCCAACGCTCAACGCTTTGATGCCAAAGATGAACGAATGAATGATGCCACGATGCTCGACATACTATATTATCGAGACAATTGAGATGCAAAAAATACATATAAATTACAAATTTTGAAAACATTTTAATTAGAATCAAATTCAAATTTTTCCTTTTTCTAATTTGTAGAGTTAGTCATATTTAGTTCATGTGTGTCTATAAACGTCTTTTTTCCTTGTCTTTTCATTTTTACGCAACTAGTTAGTAGTTGCTTAGTTCAGTGTTGGTTGATAGTCGTGTATAATGTGTCGCAGGCTTCTCAACCAATACTTTTAATCGATAATACAAATTTTCATCTTATAGCATTTACAATTAAATAGTTCTTCTTTTAAATGTGTTCTTAGTCTACATATATAGTCCGAAATGTCTACGTATCTAGCTAATAAGTGTTTAGCATTGTGTCATATCTTAAAATCAAATATGTAACAATATATACCTATATACAAGTATATATAATAGACATACATACATAAGTACTACATAGCTCAAAAATCAAGGCTGTTAACGCAAAATGCCGATACATAATCGTATTAACATTTAAACCTAGTTGTGCACCAAATACAAGCCAGCTAACGCAAATGGATGGCTTTCAAATTCTTAGTCTATAACAACAACTTTATTTGTCTCAATGTAACAATATTTAATACATATCTTAATTATTACTACATAGCTGTGCAGTTGGTCATGCACAGAACTCTAGTTAAATCACTAAATGACTAACTGCCATTAGAGTCTTAGCCTAACACAATTAGAACTAAGAATACACTCACAGACATACACACACACACACTTCATATTATAATGAAAACTCTTTTCCGTTTAATTGCGTCGAATTACTTTACTAGCCTTTACCAATAGCTGTGTTTTATTGTTCTATAGTAATTATATTTATATTTTTTTACGCGTTTCTTTCTTTATGCTCTCTCTTATTTTCATGCGCCATTCTTAGATAACATCATGTGGGGTCTGGGGACATTGCCCGAAGGTAAGCTAGAGTCTCCACTCTGTAGTGAAATGCATGCCAAGTCTATAGTCTAGTCGATATACTTATTTTATACGCTGTGGCTAATTTTAATTATTGCCTTTTCCCGCAGGTTTTCCGGCTGCCGCTTATGCTGCTTATGCAGCTGGTCGCGGCTACTCGGGCTATCCTAGCTTCGGGCTACCTTATCCAACTGGTAAGTTGAGGCACTAACCACTAATCTAGTCTTCAACACTATAATCTTACACACAATCGTTACTTACTCGTGCTTTTGTCGTCTGTATGTTGTAAGCCTATCTAATACTCTATGTATGTGATTGAGAGTGTGAGAAACGAAGTCTAGCTGGAAATAAACAAAAAATATATACTATATACCTATATATAAACAGACACAACCAATTGTTGACTAAAACTCTAACTGCCCCGTTACGATTTGTGTTATTTGATATGACGAAAGGCATTATCATTAGTGTACTAACTAATATACATACATATAACTACAGCGCAATTATTTACTTTATTGTAGTTTATTTTTAATAAATATATTTATATGTTGTCTCCTCCTTGTTCTCTTGTCTAATCGGTTATTTGAATTGTAGCTACTTTATGTGCGACTGTTCTTTTTTTTTTTGTTGTTCTCCATATTTTTCTTTCTTTTTTTCACTCTGTTATTTATTTTGTCCCACAGCTGGTGTGATGGGCGTAATGCCGGAGAATCGCATACTCATCGGTGATTACATGGTAGCTCCAACAACAACAACAACCGTCTAGGAGCACACAAACCAAAACAAAAACCAAAAAACCAAAAAAACAAAAAACCAATTGATTAAGCACAAACAAGCATCAAGTATTGAGTATTAATTACAGCGCAAAATGAAAGAACATATTTTAACATATGTATCGTACATTATAATAAAAACTCTTTTTTACGATTCAATCCAATGTGTCACATTTATTACGATAATTACTTCAATTAGCGTTCGTCATATCAAAATGCACAAATAGTAAATTAAAAAACCCGACAGCCCCAAACAAAAATCAGCCAGTCAGCTAGTCAGTCAGCTAGTCAGTCAGCTAGTCAGTCAGTCAGTTAGTCAGTCAGTCAGTCAGCTAATAATATCATCATAATTACGGCTAGGCCTAGACATCATTCACCGTAAGACCCTGCACTCGACTCTTCAGTTAATTAATGCTGCTTGGCCTCCTTATGTTTTATCATTTGCACTCAATATACATCCACACACATACACACACACACACACACTGATCTAACATATACATACTTGCCACCCACAAATAGTTGAAAAGAAGAAGAAAAAACACAAGCAATGAAATTGTGCGTTTGTTGTTTTGCTGTCTCTCTCTCTCTCTCTCTCTATCTCTCCCTCTATCTATCTATCTATCTATCTCTCTGTCTCTATATATGCAATCTATCTTGTATCTCATATGATTTTGTAGGCTTAACAATTTGTGGCATCGGTAGAAGTTACGGTACGTGTAGCACGAATGCGGGCCGCAGTAGAGCCGCTGGCGTTGCCGGCGGTGCTGGCGGTGGCGGTGCCATCGGCGGTGCTGGTGGTGCTGGTGGTGCCCAACCGCACTCACAGGGATATCAACATCAGGCGCTGACTTTACCTTTAGCCACGGCGCTGACAGCGCGAACGGCGGCAATCAAATCACAGTTTCTGGGCAACATTAATTTCTAAACAAAAATACAAAAGTCTGAGAGATCCACAAAAAACCAAAAACGAAACAAAACAAAACTCCAATACAATGCGCAATGTTTTGAAAATAAATTGAAAACTTAACATTTTGAATTTAATTTTCATTGACATATTTTTTGTCTCTTTTCGGTCTCAACAAGTCATCAAGTTTCAAAATAAATACCATAAAACATTTGTATTCTGACAAGTAGGTACAATAACAACAAAAACAACAGCAATAGCAATAGCTTAGTTTGATTTCTATGGTAAATGGTAAAACAAAAACAGCAACAACAATTGAAAAAAAAAAAACCAAACAAAACTTATACTTGGTAGTTGGTTACATAAAAAACTATATAGTCGAACAAATCAAATACGAACCAAAACTTTGTAGCCCATGTAATCTCACATTTAGCTACAGACACTTGAAAGAGTTACTGATATGCATATGTGTGTGTGTTTATATAGAATCGAAACAGACACACACACACACACGTACACACACACACACATACATGTTCTATATCCAATTCCATATTTAGCTGCAACACATAGTCTCCCCCTATAACTTTCTATATAGCCCAAACAACAACTAATTATAAAAGCACTCACTCACAACAACAACAACACGCATACTACATACTACTTACAATTTAGAAAGAACTTCATTCTTGATTACCAAAGTGTGTCGTGTAGATCGTAGTTAAGAACCATAGCTATAGAACTAGCTGCGTGCAGCCCCACATAACACGTACTATATATAGTACATATATTCATAGATGTCTAGTTCTGAATGCAAACTTATACTGAACAACATATATTTAGGATCAGTAGCTCCAATTATACGTATTACAAGTCCAGTCATATTACAATTTATATGTAGATGAATAGTCCCTAGTTATATTAGACAGTACCCCCACACACACATACACACACGTATATACAGAGCCCCATTGTAACAGCTTCAAAACATAAACCAAGCCACATCTCACAACAACCTAATTTTTGAGTTTTTGTGTAGCAAGAAGCAAGACATTTTTTGTTTTTCTCACTATTTTAATTTGTAATTTATTACCATGTTCAACATTTTTGTAGCCGATCTTGAGACATATTGTCAACCGATATTGATGAAGAAATGAATTACATCCGAACACATTGGCCAGTCTATATACGAACAGATTGACCATATCCATATCCCTATCAGTTTCATTTTCTTATTAGATTGATAATCCAATCATAGTATACGCGTAGCTTTAAGCGAGTTCTATATCCGTTAAAGCTTCACAATATTTATCCTTTGACTGAGTAAACAAAGCATAAAAATATGCACTCGATAATTAATGAACTTAAGAATGATATTGGATTAAAATATCTGTTATATCTTTGTCTATATCTGCTCATTCACAAATCCATACAAGCAAGTGAAAATGGGGATTAAAATTGTGTCACTTTTCCTACCAGCCTCCCTTTCATTAATCTGTCAACTCATTTTTATTTTCAATTAGCTTTGCGACATATTTATTGTATCATTTAAACAGTCATTTTAATTTGCAGCCCACATTAATAATTGCAAGGAAGACAAAAATAACAACAACAATAACGAAAAAAACATAACCACACAACATTTAGTAAAGTAAAACATTTCACCATTCACGTAGTTTCGCATTTTTGTTTTGTTGTATCATTGCAAATTTATATTTGTTTTATCACCTTGCAATATCTAATAGAACATACATTAAAGCATTTTAGATAATTATATGCGTTTTGTGTTGCTATATAAATTAGAGTTCATTAGTTATTTTATTGAAGTTCAAAAACTATTTGTTTACATATTCGGCGTCAAAACTTACACATATGAAAATATACTATATAATGCATAAATTATTCCTTCATCGGTGCATCGAAAAGGCAATTTAAAAAAATTCGAAACGTAAAACAACTTTTTTTCTGACATTTCTATAAATATGCACAGCAATTTTTTATAAGCATAATAATAAACGTACTATATACTATATATTTAAATATAACTTTACATAATAAGTTGATTATTAATTTTATAAAAACAAAATCAATTTGATTTGTACAATAAAAAAAAACAAAACAAAAAACGAAACATAAAAACCAAAATACAATATTAATGTCCATCCATTTTTGAAGAGCAACGTTTTGTTTTAAGTTGATGAGAAATGCAATTTTTCTATGTCCTTTCCATTTACGCATAACTGTAAGTTTCACATATACATTTATATACATATACCAGCATATTCTATTATACAATTAAATATATATACATACATACATATATAATATTTGTGCCATTAATGAAACCACATCAATGACTATAAATTGATAAGCTGTTACCTAGTTATTTGAAAGCAATTTGGCAATTGAACGCATATCGAGAGAAGAACGAAAAGGAACAACAACTGCCTCGAGGCAGCACATCATCTCCCTCTCTCTCTCTCTCTCTCTCTTTAACTATATAAATGCCATAGATATATCGCTTGCGAGTTATTTATATATATATACTATACATATACTGTACACACATTTACCAAAAACAAAAACAACAACAACAACCACATGCATATGTATTTTACACGTATATACTGTGATTTATAAGAAAACGCTTCAAACCAAAATTGCCAACGCAAAATTATTGCATTGCATTATTGCTTACGAATGAAAAACGAACAAGTTATTAAACTAAATAAATGCACAAAAAACGGACAAAAAGCAAAGTCTATCCTTTGGCCACAAACATTCTCAGCATTTTAAAGCATAATCAGTTACGTGTGTGAAGGCCAAAAAGCTTGCTAAATGCCAAGTACAAGTACTAGCCATGGAATTGACAGCCCGAACTGACAAAGAGTGGCACGGTGGCGTATGCGTAATATACGCTCACGGTGATGTAATGTGGATGAGCCAGCAACTATAACAACAACAACAACAGCAACAACTACTACAAGCACTCAGCACTCAACTGTCAAGGTCAGCTAATGGTCGTCTTAATAATCAAATGCATATCCTACCAACTACATTCATACCTAATAACTACTTTTGATATACTATAATCTCTCTCGTTCAATAAATGGCGCATATTCCAAATGCCTTTTCACATTTCTATACCATATATAATCGTATGTAAAACTATAGATTTTAGCAAGTTAGTGAGAGCGTTAAACAATTTGTAAACTGCTACAGAGGCCGGCAGTCGTTGTAGATCCTTGAACGACTCTATACGTATAAATAAATGTGTAGCGGCCTGTCAACTCTACTATAATCGTATATGATTTTTAAAATTATATCATTCCAGTATACCGATTTAGTTAATAGAACAAAAAGGTAATAGTTGAATATTATTTGTTGAAATTATATAAGAAAAATATATTAAGTCTTTACCGATCATATTACAATACTGATCTGGCGATCAACAATCAAAATAAATTGTAGTGAATACACAAAAGAAAACATATATACGTATTTCAAGATCAATATATAAGAATCTTTAGCTGTAGCTTTTATATATTGTATTTATACAAAAAGAAATGTTATAACTTTCTTAAATCACTGGCATAGAAAAAGTGTTTAGCAATATATATTTAATATTATTTAAATAGCAAAAGCAAAAAAAATGAACCAATATAAAATCATTTAGTTCATATAATACAATCAAATTGTGTAGTGTTTACAAACGAACAATAATCTTACTATAAATGTATTTCGATTACTAACCGAAAAACTTAAAGATTTATGTATTGTAGTGAATCGTCCATATACTCTTAGTACAACACCAAAGTCCGTTGCCAAACAAGAGATTTTGTTGAATAAGTATCTACTTATAAGTATAGCCTGCGGCAATCATGCTATTTATATGTAGTATGTGTTTCTGAACTCGCTGACTTAAGAACACTGTGATATTTTCTTCGTCTTCTTCAAATAGTCCAGCACTCTCGCCTATGCTGTTCACAAATTTATCCAAGTTTTTTATTTTTTTTTATTTGACTTATCGTTGATAACACAGACCTAAGAATGAAATGGAAGTTGATCGAATTTGATTTTTTCAATTTCGAAGTGTATGACCCTCTTAGGAGTAATTTCTAATAAACTGTTTAAAAAGCTAGCTTGACAAATGTACAAACATGGCATCCTTTCAAATTATAGGTCAATCGAGTCATTTTCTTTTCCAAAAGTGCAACCAGATGCAAAATATATAGCAACTTTATACTTTTATTTTTATTCAAATTACAATATTCCAGAATTTATTAAGCTATAAAACAAAGTGCAAATTGTTTTGCAATGCATTTCTTCAATAATTAACTCACTTAACACTTTCTTATCGCAAAAGTTTTGAAACCGAAGCACTCTATCGTTTTTCGAAATAAGAAAAGTTTTTATTACTTAAATTCTTCGTTATGCACACTTTTGCTCTAAAGTTTAAAACGCTATTCATTTTGTATTTCTGACATATCAAAAGTTAAAGGAATTCTGTTTTGTGTCCACTTGCTGGTTTTACCGTTAAGTTATTTGTCTACTCATAAAGCATCCAAAGCCGTGACGTTCCAAGTCAAATTTGTCAACTTCCAACATGATTTTAAGTCTGTGTTATTAGGGCGTAAGTAATCTTAAGCTCTGATGCATTCCGGCAGCTTCTTGTTTCCGAAAACAAATCAAAACACTGGGTTGTTTGCGTAAAAGAACCCCCCAAGCAACAGTTGCAGCAATATATAGATACTCTTGCTGTGCTAAAAAATTAGAAAAGTAAAAAAAAATAGCCAAATAAGACTGACAACTGGTTGCAATCGTACGTACACAGGCGGAAGCACATTGTAAAAACAACTAAGAAACTTATTTTGTGCAAGCTTCTAATGAAAGCAGCAACAAGAAAAACAACAATGACAATAGCGGCTATGACAGTGGCAATGGCAATGGCAATGGCATCTGTGCAGTTTTCCAACGTAAACCAAACGTAAGCAAAAGTTGATTGGCGCCACAACACAACAACACAGAGCTGAAAAGAAGGGCAGGCGCAGAGCTATGACAATGACTGCCTCCCAGCCAGTTGGTGGCTCTGCCGATTTTAGTTTCGTTCCATCTCGTTACGTTACGTCACGTTACGTTACATCAATTTTTGTGTTTCCGCAGGAAATGCAATGCAACTGCCACATTCCATTTTGTTGTCATTTCAATATTGACGCTGGCGCATTTTTACTTGCTGCGGCAGCTGCGACTAACAACAAAAGCAGCACCACCAGCAGTTGGAACCGCAACCACAACAACAACAACATTTGTGCCGAAAGGAAAGTGCGCCATAGTGCTAACCAAGCGTGGTAACTGCGTTTGGTTTCGTTTTGCCAATAGACAAGCCACAATCTCCAATCTCCGATCTCAAAGCCCATACGCCCACCACCCTTTCGCCCTTGCGCCCACTCGCCCACTGGTTTAACGACGGGCACTTTGTTTTTTCATAACCCGCGTTCCACCAGTTAATTTCTCTTCTTCGACCCCCGCGATGTTGTTTTTTTTTCGTTGTCTTTGTCGTTTTGTTACGTTTTGTTCGTGTTTGTAGTCATATATAGTTAGTTTAAACTGTGGATTTGGATATTGGGGAGCCTCAGGCAGCTCGGGGTAGTTGTATAGCTTTAGTTCTTCTCTATATAAACATATAAACTTTGTATTATTTCGCTTTTTTCATTTCGTTATAACAAATTTTTAAATGTTTTACTTCCTTGGCACTACTTAAAAAAAAAAAAATAATAAAAACCATATATTTACATACATATATCGCCAATACTCTCTCACTACATATATACTCGTACTATGTACCACTTAGAGCTCAGCATTGATTACTTTGTACTCTTATGTCCTAGGTATTTAAATTAAACCAAAAAACAAAAAGAACGATGTTTACAGTTCTCTTTACTAATTAGTTGTTGCCATCATCTCATTTATATTAACTATACATATTGTTTCAATCTCTTGCCACTTACAGTTGATCTAACCAATGGGCAGCTGACACCGAACAACAATACACCGCTGCTCACACAGGCGCTGTCAGGTAAGGCGCTCCCAGCATTGGACAACCTTACATATTTCGATTTATTTGCCCATGCCAACTCCTAAGATCCATTTGATTGTTGACACAAATATCTTAAAGCTGACGGCAACAATTCATAAAAACAGAAAATTAAACAAAGAAGATTTTAGCCAACAGTTTCCTAAAATACAAGCAATTGACTCAATTGTTCACCAAATGTACACCGTTCCCTTTATTGTTAGCTACTTATAATTAATAATCACACCTCCACTCTTAGGACCCAGAGCACAGTACATTTTATTGATGACCACTTTGCAGTGCAATTTATTACTGAACCAAACGAGAGACAGTAGAACAATTTTAGTACAAAAACTCCACACTTGTATATTTTATGGCAGAAACTAACCAATCATAAACTAATCACAAACCTTACACATTCGTCATTAGCCATTCATATAATTATTCGTTGAATATTGAACATAAAACAGCATATTTTATTTTCGCATACATAATTCATGCCATCCAATAGTAGAAGTCATATTTGCATAAGCATTTATAAATAGTAATCTTTCACAGGCACGCCCGGTATTAAAACTGTTTTAAAATGGATAACTTTTGGAAACAAAATAATTGTTCACTCAAATCACTTTTTATGGTAGTTTCTATTTGACTGTTTGGGGATTTTAATAACTACATAGTTCACTAAACACAATTATAGTTATTGCTTCCAATCAATGTTATGTTCTTTGTTCTTTATACTAATACTTGTACAAATATTCTATATATTTATATATTTCTCTGTATCGCCCCCACAGTGATGAACAACTATCAGGCAGCTGCTGCGGCTGCTCACAGCTTCGGGCCCTCTGCCTCGCCACACGCTGCGGCTGCCAACACAGCCACACGGCAGGGCTTCCCCTCTACCAACTCGCCCGGACCAACCATTGACATGTACAGCTCGGCTGCAGCTGACAACGTTGGCTATGTACAGGCCACTAGCCCGCAGCCGTCAGGATTCCCGATTGCCGTTAGCCGTGCACCTTTAAACTATAGCCCGGTAAGTCCTGTTGCCCATTCTGCCCAATTCCGCCAGCCCGAGGGGCGCGTATAGCGTAGTGCATACTTTGGGGCGTTCGGGCGCAGATCGGGCGTTGCGGGCGTGATGGGTATCTGTAGGCTTAGTTGTTGGTTGTTGGTCCATTGCGTGCCGCTTAACACTAAAACAAAAGAAATCGAAACAGAAACCAAACTAAACATCAATTAAATGTTCCATTTACTTTTCATTTTCTGTTACAACAATTTCGCATTCACACACACACACACACACATACGTACACACAAACACATAGACCCACACACTCATGTCCACAAACACACCATCTCATTCACACACAACTTAAACACCGAATTCATGAGAAAGCAGCAACAATTTTAGAAACAATCAAAACAAAAAAAATAGTTACATATTGCGTTTACCTTCTATATATTGTATGTATTTCTCTTTCATTTCGTACAGATTTATTCGTTGAACTTTGCGATGGCTAATATATAAAAAGACTGATAACCAAAAACAAAGAAAAAACAAAAGAAAAATACAAAACCAAAAAGTATATACAATTATATAAAAACAAATGAAAAATCTATATATAACGAAAGTAAAAACAAAGAAATAAGAGTATAAACAAACGCAGTTGCACAAGGTAGGCACACCAACAAAACTACAGCGTGTTTCAAACTTTAAAATTAAATTAAATTAAACTAAATTAATAAACCAAATTCAAATTTCAATTATTCAATTAATCAACAATTAAAGTACAACAAACTATAGTCAACAAATATGTATATCTAAAAAATATGCACGTCACATGCACAGTTACTACTAGGCCGTTTCAATTCAACTATTATTATTTATTTCAAATTATAATTACAATATGTATCTGTGTATTGTATGTGATCAATTTCAAATATAAATATTAAAACTCTGCGCCGCTTAAATATAATGCATACCTACTCGTATTTGCATATTTACGTTTCTATCGGTGTCGCGATGAGGCTTGCTAAAGAGACCGAAAAAAGTGTGGAAACTCGAGCGGAAAATCAAAGTCAATCAACTCTTACTTTATGTGAAATATATGAATATTTAAATTCTTCAAATATCATGAAAAATAAACATTAAACAACGCTTAATCGAAAGTTTGCTAATATAAGAACAAAAAGGTTCAGAAAAATGCAGAGCAGAAAAAAATTAATAAATTTATTGAAAATAGTTAGAGAGGTTTATCAAACCATCCCAGGCTTTCAGGTATCATGGCTCATATGACAGGCCCACAATATAAGTACAGGTATGAAAGAGGTGAGCTTACAATTTGATAATCAATAATTTGATTGCTTTAAATAAAATTTGTTCGACTCCCAATGAAATGAAAGAGTCGAAGAGGAATTAGGTTGGGTTAGGTTAAGATAGCTGTGGCCTATGAGGTCAATTGTGATGCCGTTGGTTCTTTATGTATCGGCTGTCTACCAACCAAATCAAAATGCCCATTTTTACTATTTCTGTGAGATGATTTGAGATGGGTTTCCATAGAAAGGTCCTCAAGTCTGTCTATCCGTGAAAAATGCAATCCTTGTCAGTTTTAGAGTGGCACAAATTATTTTCTTAGATTATAGTATGTATATACTTTAATCGAATACTTTTTAATGAAATTTTTTATGTTACCTCTTACCAAGAATTTAAATAATAAAAAATATAAATTAGCCATAGCTTATGAAAGAGTTTCGGCAAACAATATAGCATTATTGCATTTATGTGGCTAGTTTTCAGGCCAGGCTACAATAATTTGGACCTATATACAAGTATTTCCACCACATCGATTTGTCTCTTTATCAAGCCTTATAATCAATTAATATAATATAGTCTATTAAAGAAAATTCTTAGTTATTTCCAACATACGTATTTCAATTCAATTCAAATTTTCTCTAACTCTAAACTTTCCACTTATAAATAAATGTTGAAAAACTTTCTATGTGTGCGTAGTTGGAAAATTTATTTTATTTGAATAATTTTTGTGTGTTTGTTTTGTCCTTTTCAAAACATTTATTTACAGGGACCACTAATTCCTGCGGCATTTACAAATGGATACCATTAAAAAGGTGGCGCCGACAACCGCAATAATAACAACAACAACATAAACATGAAAAGAAGAAGAACAACAGCAACAACAGCCACAACTGCAGCAGCAGCAGCAGCAACAGAAGCGACAACAACAAACAGACACGCAAAGCAAATGAAAAGCTGCAACCACAAAAGCAACAGCAACAGCAACAACAAAAACAATATAAAAAAAAATAATATATAAAATACATAATAATGAGGAAAACTATGTGCATATATAAGTGCGAATATTTGCATGCCTATGTATGTATGTTGATATATAGTATATACACGATATAAATATATATATACATATATTTATATACGCAAGGCAGTATCCCAAATGAAATCCGTTAAGCAGTCAAACAAACCCAATAAACCAAACACACAAACACAACATATTATAATTAATTATAAATATACTAAACACACATAAATAAATATAAATGCATATATATACACACATATATAAATATATATATATATATATATATATATATATATATATATATATATATATATATATATATATATATATATATAGAATGCAGCAACGCAACGCAAGCAAACCAAAAACTATGAGCGAACAAAAAATGAATTAATTTTAATTTAACAACAACAACAAGTAGAGAAATAACCAAAACAACAACTACAACAACAACATTCGCATACAGCAGCCACACGAAAGATGCAACGTGTGCAGCAAAAATCGTTTAATATGCAAATTAAACGAAACTGCACTCAAAACTGCTGGCGGCAAGGTGGCAAAAATTTGCGGCAGTTGGAACAAAATGGCGACAGGATGACACGCACCGTTCCAGTCCTCCCCCTACTCCACTCCATTCCACCCCGATCGAATCGAGTCGGGTCGAGTCGAACCGAGTCGCTACCATCGAGCCGAGTCATGCCGCATCGAGCATCACAAAAATGAAAATAATATTATAAAAAAAGAATTAAACCAAAAAGTTGAAAGATAAACAAAAATGTTGCAATAATAGCAAAATGTTATTATTTAATTGCGTATTATATTAAATACAATTATTATCATTATTATTATTATTATTCTTACATATATAAGTTGTAACTTTTAAAGTTAAAATCGAAATATACATGCATATATATACTTAGATATACTATATGTGTGAACAATTTTGCAATATATACAAAACAAGGAATAATGAAATTCATAAATCAAAAGCAAACAATTGTGAATCAATTGAAGAAGAAAAAGAGGAGCATGAGGAGGAGGAGGAGGAGGCGAGGTCCAGCGTTCATATTGAAGAAATTGGCAGCACTGGAATTGGTTGGAATTATTTTCAAAGAATGACCAAAAAGCTCATACGATTTATCTCTAGAAAATGGTCTTCGTCCATGCTGGCCTTTGAAAAAGGCTAACTCAATTCCATTTATTGAGCACATAGAACATCACACAGTTCGAAAATATCACTAACCAATGCCACAGACCTGTTAAAATCTCTGTAATATATAGACGGTAGCCCTCGCACTCCGAAGTTTGCAATATTGTTTTGAGGACGTGGACATTTCAATGATTCTCATAATAGACGGGTTTAATTTCACAAAATGCTCGCCCAATGGCATGAAGCTGTTAATATTTCTGAACGCAAGGCAAAGAAGAAGATTGGAAATCTACATACATATATAGAAAAAGTAATAATATATACATATTTGCACAAAGTGCAATTTGAAGGCTTCTTTGATTTGCGACCGGCTTAGAGAAAACAAAAGGCCTTTCCAGCTTTTGTGTGTGTGGGTATTTTTTTCGTTTTAAATCAATGGAAAATGAAATCAAATTTGGACGTACATACAACATATGTATGTGCTAGTATATATGCAAATTATTTATGAATTTATTTGAGAGTACAAGCAATTTTTTCATTGGCCAAAAACTATAAAAATTACATGCAATTTGTTAGATATATTGATGCTTTGTATTTTTTTCCAAATGCAAAATAAAATACTATATGTAATGTTTTTGTGTTCACATTGAAACCATGAAATAATGCTTAACGAAACAAAAAACATGGTTAGTTAGATAAATATGTTAAAGCACTAATTATGACAATGAAAGAAAGTGAGAGTGACTTCAAATGGCTCGCGGCAAAAATATAATCAATTGGAAATTAAATTACGCATAAGCTAAATTTTTGAATGCGAATGCGAAACATGAATTATACTATTACACACACAACAACTGATGAATCAAAAGTCAAAAGGAAAACAAAACAAACAAAAAAGAAAAAAACAGAAACGAAAAACTTAAACAAGTTACAATCTAAGCATAAATGCAAATATAACAATGAACTATTATACACATATATGCGCTATATTTAAGTAAATAAAATATTTATAAAGGCATACAAAATGTGTCGCAAATGTTTAAACATTAAACCAAATATGTAAACACGTATGTATATTTTAAAGAATATTCATAAGTAAAACAAAAAACAAACAAAAAATGAACAAGCAGGCCACGTTATGTGCAATTAATATTTCTTGTCACTCGCAAGGACGACAGGCTAATGATGGACTAGAATTATTGACAAAGCGATGGGGCGTAATAGAAAAATATATTTATATACAACTATATATGAAGTATTCAGATATTGGACAAAAAAAACGAAATTAAGGTAAATAAGCTGCAACATTTGTTACACACTCACACAAACACACACACACATACATTATGTGAGCAAAAAGGTAATTTAAAAAAATCATAATTGAAATGTTTTTGCAACAACAAATTCGAAAGAATACGATACGATACGAGATACGCTTTTGTCTGTCTGAGATCTTTGCATACATCATAGATTGAAAACAAATGGAGCTGATTTTTCAAATCTTTTCGTACGAAAAATTAATGAAAAGCAAAACAAATCCAAACAAAACAAAACAAAGCAAAACCAAACACAAGCAGTGAAAATGTTCCTTTCATAACTTTTTGCCAAATTGTCAAACCAACGCTCTCCAGGACTTTGCCTGTCAAGTCTCGGACCAATAACAAACTTATATAGAAACAACATATATAGGCACATACACCCACACATACTATATATATCTATATATGTATATAAATATATATAAAGAGAAAAACCATATAGTTGCAATGTAATATAAATTATAGTGTTTATAATGTTGACAAACAATCCAGTGAAGAACTGTGAATCATTTTTAAAAGTGCAGCACATGAGTTTTCATTTAAAAAGGAAATCTATCTCATTGATTTGAGTGCTTATAGATTCTGTGACCAACTTTCAAAACTTTTGCCATTTCAAAATTCTCTTACACATTTGTGCTGCTCCTTTTTGCTGGCATTTTCTTTTTGAGTGCATGTGCAGAACAGAAATGAGATCAAGGTATAAATACTAACACAGACACTCACACATACATTTATATATACATACATACATATAATCAAAAGCAGAAAACAGCAAGCATAACTTTTTAGATAGATGAAAATAAGGAGCTATAAAGTGAGGAAGAAGAATCAAGCTGGAAAATTTCAAGGCATGCATTTTTGGTGATTGTCCAAACAGCAAACAATTTTACTTATGTACATATGTGTGCGTGTACACACACACACACACAGGCAGACACATACATATGCAAGGCAATGGTTACTTTAGCGCTAACTACTATTTGTTTATACATCAAGAGAAAGGCTTGAAATGCACAAAAGTTGCAAGCATTTCAAAAAAGCAAAAAACAAAATGGAGACGCAACTCTTGACCGAGTTGAGGGCGACAACAAATATGTATTTTAAAAATCAGAAGTAAACCATGTTATATTTGCATAAAAGAACAACAACAACAACAACAAAACACAAACGTATATATTAACTAACTTTAAGCCATATATAAATATAAATCAATATATTTTTAAGAGATGTTCTAAAAGCAATAATTCAAAACAACAACAAACAACAACAAAAAAGGAAGTAAGTTTAACAAATTAAATACATTAAATATACACCAATATTATATACACATATATATACATATAAATAAAAATTGGAAAAAAAATATATATATATTAACTATTCTTAAGTCTAATGCGATAACAAACAAGAACTGTCTGGCAGAAGAAAATAGATCGAGAAGAAAAGCAAATACAGAGCAAGTATATAAATAAGTCTATACGATATGTGTAAAAAAAAAACAAGAAAACACAGAAAAAACTAACGACATTTTTTGACTGTCCTACAAACAATTTAAACCTCTGACGGCTACGCTTAGTAAGTGACTCAAAACGAAACTTGTGTTTTAAGCAATTTCAAGAAATGTATTGCAAATCGAAGCAAACGAGGCGAAACCTAAATAACAATCCAGCAATGCGATGCTTATTGAAGCCATTTGCGTAACAGACAACAGCCAACCAACAAACTAGACTGCATCTTTGTGGCTCTTGATAGTGACCATTGAATGGCGTTTTCCGCTTATGCACTTGAAAGTGTCAAATTATTCGATTCAGCGCCTGTAAAGCAATGAAGTATCAGAAAGTAGCGTTTTAGGCAACTTATCGTTGCAGGCCAAGCGCAAAAGTACGCAACTCTTTCTACTGGCCCGGATGGCGAGAAAGGTGCACGCAGGATTGCATCGAACATAATCGAAATTAGAAGGGGAATGTAAATACATACACATCCGTAAACAGCATTTATTTTGCTTGACGACAACTCTGGATGGATAGGGCAACAGCTAGATAGGTGTGGCTGCTCTCGTACAGTCACCGCTCAGATAACGATACGAATACAGATACAGATATAGACTTTTTTTGTTGTTAGGTCAGCTTAAAGCGTACTGTTGAATTTCTTAGTTTTTCTTAGCAACAAACTTCTTGTTAATGCTCGTTATGGTGTGCAGAGAGCTGCAGCTTTTCGTTTTATTTACTTGGCAGTAATCTATACTCCACACTACGGTTAAAATCTATAGCAAGTCACTAACAGCTAGCCAGCCCATTTCTGCAAAAACATTGGTATACCGGAACAACAGCAACTAAAACAACAACAACAACAACAACAACAACAACAACAACAACAACATCAAATGCGTCCTTGTAACTAAATCAATTTCAGTCAATTAAAAAATGTTACAGCAAAGCCGAGAACAACTACAGCACAACATTTTTTAACCCAAAATGAAGATGAATAAAATTAATAAAAACAAAAAAAAGAGAGAGCCCAAAAATACAGTAAACATTTTCATTATTTTTTTACTGAGACACACGCCCGTCAACTCAAGTTAATATTGACGGCGCAGGCGCAAAAGCTTTAAAACCAAAAAAAAAAAAAACAAAAAGAGTAGAGAAAAGGGAGTAACTCTGTTTTTATATAATCAACAATTTGTATAAAAAATGCCATGAGACAGCATAAAGTAAAATGTTTTTTAAATATAACATAAATACATACAGACATACTTTAAGCTAAACACAGTTTTGAGTCAATTTGTGGTCGAGCACAATTAAAATGCAAGATGAAAGCAAGAAATTCGAGGCAAGAAAAGACATAAGAAGTACTCGTATACATATATGTAAAATAGTTTTAACGATCAAGTCGCAAGTTCGTTGAGCTGAAGACAAAAGACAGCAGAAGCGAGTTAGTTATTTATATAAATGTAATTGCTTTCGTTTTCTTATTATTGACTTAACAACATATCAGTTCTTATTATGTGTATGCGTAATGTTTAAAAAGATGATCAACAAATATATAATTAAAAGAAAAGTAAAATTTACAAACCAAAAAAAAAAAAAAACAAACATCAAATTTGCTAATGTCTTATGCTAAACGAAGACGTTTCCTTTCACAAACAAATAAACACCAAAACGCGCTGCAAATGCAAATCCCCAGCACCGAGGTACAGTTGTGTAGTCTATATAATAAGCGCTGAGAAGCGCATAGAGGGGCATCATGCTTAAGGGTTTGCAGGCAGCGTTATTGTGGGCCTTCTACACTGCGACGTGCTTTTTTATACGGTAGCCAACTTTTTACTTACATGACATTTCTGCATTTAGTTCTCCTTATTGACATTGTACATACACACACACACACACACTTACACAGCCACATACAGACACGCCCACATGCCTACATGAAACGTAAAAAATTATAAACAAACAACAGAATCAAACAAAACAAAAACAAAAACCATACGAACGATCACTTGACTATTTTTGCTATAAGTAAGAAATTCCCCCCAGGAATGTATCAGTTTGCGGTACTCCTACTGGCAAAACACCTTTACTATATTGACAATATCTCTTATATATTTTACACTATACTATATGGAAAAAATTATATATTAATATATACAAAAAGCGAAAAAAAAGTAATGATACATACAAGACAAATGGCGTAAGTGACGTTAGAATTGTATTTACAAAAAAAAACAAAAAAAAAAACAAGAAAAAAGAACAAAAAATGTAAAGCAAATGCGTAAGAAAACCAAATGAAATCATTTTAATACTTTATACACATAAAGAGTTGATAAAACTAAACGAAGTAAATCCAAAAGGCAGACAACAAAAAGTCATAGAAGATCCAAGAGGAAGGCGAAGAGGGGATGGTACATTTATTTAATACGCATAGTAAGGCGTACAGTTTGTAAGTAAGTATTGTATTAAGTAAGTAAAAGTAATTAAGTGGCGCGTTCTATGGGCAAAGGCCAGACAAAATCAATTACCATATATATAATTATATATATATATATATATATATATATATATATATATATATATAATAACAAATCAAAGAAGAGCGTGCGCTTGCGCGAATACTTTAAATCGAACTCTAGCTTTTAAGGCTGGTCCCACACCTTATTGGCCCCGATCAAGTGCTAATGTCTGGAGGAACAGCAGCGGGCAATGCAATTTCGCGCCAGTGTGTATATGTGTACATGTATAAATACATTGTAATAATTCTGACAGCATGTACTAAATACTTAGTACATGAATAGTACTACACTTGCAGCAAACTATACAAGGTAATAATAATTAATAACGAAAAAAGTAAATAACTCAAAAGAAAGGAGACAGAAACTGGCATACACATTCAAAAATGAGAAGCATTACAAGAATTTACTAAGCAATTTTTTCATTTCTATAAAGAACAAAAACCCGGTAACGAATTTGTATATTTACTATCAAAAATGTAAAAGCGAATAACAACAACAAAAAAATGGCAAAACAAAATAGTAATATATATTTAATGACACGAACAAACAAACAAAGAAGGAAAAACCAAACCATTCATATGACAGCAAATATGCCCATATACTTGTATACATATATATATATATATATATATATATATATATATATATATATATATATATATATATATATATATATATATATATATATATATATACAAAATATATATATATATATGTATATATATATATAAATACAAAAACAAAAAAAAACAAACAATTATATATATATATAGTTATATAACCAAGAACAACAAATAAACATATAGTTAAATTCAATAATGTTAAGTGTATGAAAAACACAGGCAACGGCGCGGCCCAAGCTGTTGGTTAAATTTAATTAAACTGTTTATAAGTATCCTTGGCAAACACAAACACAGTCACACATACACATACACATACTCACAAGAATATACACACACACGCTCACACAGTCAATGGCAAATAATTGCCACTTCACACACAAACACACGGACACTTTGACAAAAACCGCATAAGTTTTTAACACGACAACACAGCAAATAGAAACAAAACATAAGTTTAAAAAATTCACTTTGTTCACAATGTGCCACGTATGTTGTGAGAGGAAGACACAGAGTAAACGTAACATTAAAAACAAACGCGAATTGCTGTCAGCAACCACATATGTACGCATAAACTATAATTAAAGAAACATCTGGAGAAAACAGCAACATGATTTTAAAAAAGGAATATTAAATAACGGCATAATAAGTTAAGATAAGTAAATAACAAAACAAAAATAAGACACGTCAAAGAAATGCTCTAGAGCAACAAAAAAAAGAATATGATATAATAAAAAATATAATGAAATAAATGGGAAATAAATTAATTAATTAATAATGATAAATAAACAGATATGAACATTGTTCAAAAACATAAATATCTTGCTAGTTTTATTTGGATGTGGTGTGGCTTGTCTGGACTGATCGAATCATCATTTTTGGATTACCCTTTTTTCGATCGATTCATTGGGAAAGTATTTTAGGGAAATGCGTATTTTGGAGACTTTCCTTGTCAATCCTTCTAAGATATTTAAGATCTAATTGTTTTCAATTTAATAATTAGCGGTGCAAACATGTAATGAAAGAAATTAGCTATAAAGCTATATTTTAGTATAGAATTCTTATTAGTCTTAATTGAAGAAGCATTAATGGCTACTTGTCCAATTCAAAACATTAAACGTCACAATATATGCAGTCGTTATCCTGAAAAGTCCGTGGTAATTATCCAGCTTAGAGCATTTCAACTGTGTACACAAAAGTCTACTGATTTCGGAAACGGAAGCATGGCTGAATATTTACCAAACAATTTCCGAAGTTCCACTCACAATTGTTATGAAAACAAGCAGCAACCAATTTATTCATACGAGTATTGAAGCATAGAAATCTTAAGCTATTGAGCAGTACAAAATAAAAAGTCAGACACATAATAATAAACCAACATTTGCTTTTGCAATTCTATATACAAATATACAACACGCTTGCCTATTCCTGAGCTCAACTCGACTTCTTTTGGCCCCTTTGGCGAGCCTCTTTTTGCTCGTCCCACCATTTGGCATACCACTTGGCGCTCCTCTCGGCACTCAAGTCCGCATCGTACAACGGCACATAGTCCATATGAATCGAGGCGCGTAGGCGATTGTACATCAGCATAGAGGATGTGAACGAGGCAATGGCGCGCAAGGAGTAGGGCAAGCGGTAATTGGTGTATGGGAAGGCGAGGCCAACCAGAAGCTCCAAGAGGTAGGCCAAAAAGAAGAAGAAGAAATGCGGCAAATACCACCAGCTCGTTTTGACCTTAAACCGATTACCCAACAACGCCATTTTCTGCACAAAGCGCGATACATCGTTGATGCCAGTATCGTCGGTGACAAAAACTGGCAGCCCATTCACAGCCTTTGTGGAGACCTTGAGTGCCTTATAGGCGCAAATGTGGCCCCAAGCCACATTGCCTGCATAGACCAGCTGCTGCTTTCCGCCGACGCCGGCGATGCGTGGAAAAACCCAGTCGCGTTTCGATAAATAAGAGAAGATGTCGGTGATGAAATGCGAATCGCACTCCCCATAGGTGAGAGGTGCGCGAATGGCGCTGGTGGCCAAGTAGTCTGTAGGTGGACAGGCAGATTGTAGTGTGTGGGCCAAAAGTTTTGGCGCACACTTACCTCGTTGGTTGTCCAGTGGTGCACCGTTCGAGTTCAACACAATGTTCTCAGCCCGCAGTTTGCTGGCCGCATAGCCAGCGATAAGAAACTGTTTGTCTTGCTCCAACAGATTGCTGCCCTCCAGGGTAGGTGTGTCCGTTTTGGACTCTGTGGAATTGATGATCGCCGAGAAGGTGCTGCGACCCTTGAACGGCACAAAGCACACCGATGCGCAACTCGAATAGACCAGACGCTTAACATTATTCAGCACACACAAGTCGACAACGGCACGGGTGCCTGTGGAACAAGAAGATAATAGCAATCAGTCTTTTGTCACTTCAACTTAAAGCTTAAATAGGTTAACTAGCAATTTATTGAATTAAAAGTAAGTAGCCCATTTAAAGCATAATTGTCTAACCTACATTTAAATTGTATTGTATTGCTCTCATGGCTCTTGGTTTTATTACACTAGTCTAAATAGCGGACCACATAAGATCAAATAAGAAATCTCGGAAACGGACCGGATTATATAATAACAAAATAATAGCAATCAGGTTAATTCTGTCTAAAGCTAAGAAAGTATAGCTTCTAATTGACTCATTCTTCTCTTAAATGCTTCTCTTAGATAGAATTGCACAATAAAATATTCAATTCAAATTATCTTGCCTAAATATTTTGATAATACAAGTAGAACATGCTTTAAGTTTAGTTCTTAATCTCGTGTTAAAAAGCCAAAGCTCAATTTTATAAAATTAGTTGAATTTTGTTCCCAATAAAAAATCAACCCGAACTTTGATTTAAATTGTACTAAGGGTAGGTTGATTCCATTAAACAACCAGAGTTGGTATACTTGAGTGCATTGGAGATTCAAGATTTTAGCGACGGTAAAGAAAGGCTTTACCTTTATAAAAAGGTCGTTCGTTTATGTTTTACAAATAACAATCAGTTACCACAAATCTAAATAAATAATATTATTACCCAACTATAAACAAAGTTAGGCCTAAGTGATCTTAGAAGAGAGTACTTAATATGAAATAAAATGTAGTAAATAGTAATCAGAAGTAATTCCCTCTAACACACACCGTTTACATTCACACGCTCCAGTTCCTCATAGTTGGGTGGATATTCAATTTTCACCGATGCAGCGCAATGGAAAACGCCATCGACTCCGGCAAATATGCTTTCCAGACTCTCTCGCTCGCCGCTTATGTCGGCCACAAAGGTTCGCAAAATGGGCGAGTCGATGTGACCAATATTGTTCTTATAGGGCACAATATCAAGGGAGCGTATCTCTCTGATGCCAAGTTCCTCACGTTTTTCCAGCAGCTGTTTAATAATATGTTGACCCAAAAATCCACTTCCTCCTGTGACAAGCACCACATCTCCGTCTCCACTGCTGGGCATTTTGTTGGGCTTGCGAGTCTGTTGAATTGTAACCGGTTTCTAAAAGAAAGTGTAGTCCAATTTAATTTAATACGAAACTCTAATTACAGTTGCGCAAGTGCAGGCCAGTTGGTCAAGCGAAGTCATAACGCGTACTCCAATTAAATGAAACGATGAACTCTCAGACGCCATAACCGGCGCGCAGTCGCACACATACGCCATGCTCTGATATGGCCTTCATAGAGGTCGCAAGCCGATTTGAGTGACTCGTCGACATGCACATAGCTCCGTCTGTCTGTTTGTCTGGCTGGGTGGCCGACCAGCTTGCTGGCTGTGGCTTTGTTATGGTAATGAAGTCGAACTTAGCCTGAATCAAGTCAATGTTAGTTGAGAGCTAAACCTTCAGCTGTGGGTTATGAAGTAAGCAAATGGTAGCGTCGAAAAGTTCAGTTTTATGGAGCTGCAACATTGAAGTTATATTTCCTCCAGTTGTTCCAATGCAAAATACATAAAAAAAAAACCATTTCGAGCAGTAGTGAACCCTTTTGGGTCGGCCTTTTGAAATATACGAGTAGATTTCACAACGTAATGCTCTACATATCTTTGAAAACAATTTTTGAAATACATGTGCATATTAACTGAAACAGAACGTCGTCGTTCCCACCATAATAGATATCCCCAAGCTATCTGACAATTGTAAGAATGTATAAAGTAAGTATTAATATTAATTTCATATATTTTGTGCTTTAATCACAATATTTAAAAGTCTGGTAAGCTATAATTTACACACACCAATTTGGAAATGTTTGTGATGATTGACTTGCTCAAAAGGCAAATATGCTTGGTAAGAGTGCATTTCTCAAGAGATGGCAGATTTCAAAAACTCCTACTTACAGTAAATAGAAACAGAGTTTACATTGAAATCGGTGTACTGATTCACAATATACATACATAATTATCTAATTATAAACAACAGTTGAAAACAGGTTATATTTTTCAAGCAATGTTTTAGCTGTCCACTCAGTTATTGGTTTCGTTATCTGAGAACAATTAAGATAGGCTATCTTCATCTGCACCGAATCTGTATACCCTTTACTGTGTCTACAATACAACTTTATTCCTCCAGGGGATAATACTCTAGTGTCCGTACTATCTTATTTCTTTAGACAGAATTTTTCACTTGTTATTCAAGGGAACATTTTATTTTAAAGAACACATATTATTGACCTTAAACATGCAAACAACAATTACCTATACTTTAAAAATTAAAAGCTGGAAGAAAAAATGGAACTGCAGCTACTGCTGCCAGCCATTAACAATTTATGCACAGTCTTCTAGGTTTTCAGTTCATTCAAAGTTCACTTTTCGCATTTGATTTCCGTTTTATGTGTTACTTGGCCACGGTCACACAATTTATCTTTATCGTCGATCATTTAGCCAACTTATAAACTCAGACTCACAGCTTACATATGAGCCGCGCATGCCCAGCAATACAAAAGATACAAGAAACGAAACAGAAACTGAAAATGAATAGATCTGCGCTTACATTAGCGCTGGGCTGGCTAAGATTACACAAGAAACAACAACAGCAATAGCAACAAGCTAACGTCAATATGATTATTACGAACGGGTTTCCGCGTCTCTATTACAACATCGACAGCAACACATCAACATCAAAGACTTTGGAGCTCCCATGGCTGAAAACTGTCCAAATCAACAATACTTTTGGCCTTTTGCTGAGCAGTTTTCTTTTCGCCCATTGCGATTGCGAATTATTTGCGCATTTAACCCGCCAGTTAACGGTTTACACTGGCTTAACCAACATAACACCACACAGCACAGCACAGCACAGCACGACGACTTTTCGGCAACCGGAGTGCGAGCTTACCAAGTTAGCTTTAAATACTATATACTTAGTAAGTTAGTACGTCCAAGCGCTTTGATTGCTGCTTGCCAACTGGTTGACAGACAAGGTTTTAACTGAAATGGCTCGTTGTGGACGAGTTCGAGCTCAGCTTTGCATAGAGTTGCCACCCGCCTGAGAAGGTGTTGAAAGATGAAGCAGAAAAAGCGACTGTTAAACTTCAATTTTTATTTAACAACAATTAAATGAATGCGGACATCAAATATATGTATGCTTAGTGGTGATCGCTTTAAAATAGTTTACATAAATAGGTATCTTCAATTTGGTTTTTGTTTTTTATCTTCATATGTTCGCTTTTGTCAAATATAGAGGCAAAATACAATAGAATTGTCAATAAGTACATAATAATAATAATTGTTTTCGTTGCATGTCTAACACACCATATAAATTGTGTATATAAAGTAAACGAGAATTTTAAAGGCCGTCGATACAAGTGACTTGGATTTTGGATTATAGTAGAGCACTTATTGCATAAAACTCATAATTACATATATGTATTATAATTTACGTACAAGAATTATTGTTAGCATAGAATACAAAAGTTTAGGTATTAGTCCGTGTACATTAGACAATTCTGTTCACATTTTGGTTTATTACAGCATTATAACTTTTAAGTACAAGTACTGACTGACTTCTCGGATTCATACATTTTTTTTTGTTTATCATCCTTTTTACAAATATCCATAAATGGGTATAAATGAACATAAATATTTATAATTATTCTCGACATACACACACACCCATACATTACATACATGTGTGTGTACGCGATTTACAAACTATATATCAATAATTATCTAGCAATTTCATTAAGTTACATTTACAAACACGTAATAAGTACGAACAAATCGTTTATTATATCTACTGCATTTAGATGCATAATTGGAGTGACATGAAGCAATGAAATCGAAATTGAAATCTATATATCTATATTTTAATGTATGAACAATGTGAATGTACTTACGATTTGATTGCGCGTGGGTATGTGTATGTATTAAACTAGTTACGTGTATGTATGCATACATATATAGGTAAGCGCTATGACGTAGTCATAACAACTATTAACTTTCTTCTTTGTTAACTAACATTATTTACTAGTACAAGTACATTTCCTTTATAACTATTATTGTTGTTATTGTTTTTGTGGTACTGTGAGTGCCAACACGATGTCATTTTGCCGTAATTTTTCGCCATTTTCCACTTCAGTACGATAATGCTGAGGGCGATCGTGAGCCAACTGTGAAATCCTTGTAGACCGAAAATACGGAAATCTATAAAAATAGAATGGAACGAAAAAATGTAAAATAATATTCCGCTACATAGAAAGTGTAATTTAGATTTTTGTTTTGCCCAATTAATTGACGGCCAATACTATTGGCCCGACTTGCGTCACAGTAATGAACTGCACCAAGAGCGGGCAGATTGCCAAAAACTAAATAAAACTTGGCAAAAATCGGCAATGCCCGGTCTTCATTTGCATGCGCTAGTGTCTGTGTTTGTTGTCTTTGTTTGTGCGTACGTAGATAGGCGGCAAGTGTATCACAAACGAATCGGCTTATCAGCTTTAGCGACAGCAAACAGTTCAAGTCCAAACGCACATAAGCATATATACATACCTTGTCTTTCAGTTGCTGACACAATTTTTGACCATTCATTAATAACAATAGCACATCGTTCAGCCACTGGACAGAGGCCTCGGCCTGGCGGGAATCGAAACGCATGGTGCCTTGATTGTTTAACAGCTGATAGACGGCCACAATCAGTTTGTGGCTCTGCAGATAAAAGCTGACCGCCAAATCTTCTGGCAGATTGGGTACTAGAGATTTCTATAGGGAAAAACACATACAATCGAATAATATTACATAATGATAAGAGTAACTGACTCTATTTACGCACCATATTTCGTCCCTTTATAAGCTCATCAATGGGTTTCTTCTTGGGCACTAGCAAGCTATTGCGTCCACGTTGCAGTGCATCTAGAATATTGCCTATCACATGCAGCACTTCGTCGGAGGTTCTTTCAACGAAGAGCATAAATAAAGCGTACATTTAAAAATCGATCTAATCATTGAAATAGACAAGACTCACTTGAAATGATAAGAATCATCAACGTCGTCAATATGATTGATTGCTGTTTGCAAGTGATTGGCGGCATCCTGAACTTGCTGCAGTTTCCATGGCGAGTCGTGTGTTATTGAGGTGCGTTGCGTTTGACTTGGCGCTTTACACAGCTTAAAACTAATGTCCTGTGGATGAGAAAAGGCAGAAGAATAGGTTATAGATAAGCTAGTTTCTAATGTAATTAACTTACCGCTTGTGTAATGGCATCGCCTGTTAACGTTAGTACCGCCTTCAATTGATCCGGCGACACGCTGAGTATGAACTTTTCAGTCTTTTTCCCCTCATTTTCATAAAGCGGCACGGGAAATCGATGTGCGCACTCCTGCAACAAAGGCAAAGGCAAAGGCAACCGCAAGCAGGTTGATGATTAATTCAAGATGACCAGTCAGTCGTTTTATCAAATTATTCATTTGCTTACCACAAGAATAGTTCTCAGTTGCTTTAATATCGCATGAACTTCCATCCGCAGTACCCACTCGAACTCAATTTGCTGCGTGTATGTGAATATGTGTTGGTGCATACATAATTTGCATGTGTGTTTTTATATGTTTGTGTGTGGGTTTTTGCGATAGCCCGCGTTGTCGTTGTCACCGCCCCACAAACAAAGGCAACAGCAACCGCAATGGTAAAGTCAAAGGCGAAGTCAGAGGTAGACGTAAAGGCATCGTGGACAAATCAATAAATTCAACATCGGAAACGGCAAAAGAAAAAAGTACGAAAGATACGATCAATAATCAATTATCACACACACTTTGATCGATTGGCCAAAACAAGTTTAATTGCACCGATGGGGATGCCGTCTGTTTGTTGTTGTTGTCATAGCATTTAATTACATACCAAGTTCCTAGCCTCCTCATGCTCGGTGTCGACCAACATTTTCATTGTTGTTGTTGTGGTTGCTTTTGCCTTCCTACGCGCTGTTATAAACCTGCGTCTGTTCTGTGAACCAATATTGCCAGCAGCAGCGACGCCCGCAAATTGATTTGGCAACTGAAGTGTGAGCGCTACAATTAGTTGTTATTAAATTTAGTTACTATTACAAAAAACATTTTAATTTTAATGGAGATGGACAAAACAAACGATATTCACTTGCGATGCATCAAAAGCATCGACATCAATATGGTCACACTGAAAATCGTTTTTTTTTTTTTTTGCATCAATTCACCCTGCTGCCTTCGATGGGGTTCAACGGGACTAGACGTTTTTTATTAACAAAGCAAGCGCAAGTAATGATGGATTATTAATTTACAGCACTAATTTCTTTTTTCACACCTTTATATAGTCATTAAAAGAATTTTGATTTGTAGCGCTCATGTTTAAATTGAAAGCGTATTGTACCGAATGAATTTTCAAATGTTAACACAACAGCTGTTGTGCTTTATAACAGCACTCTAACACATTGTACTCGATACTTTGTTCGCAAGCGGAATGCTGCCCGCTACAGCACTCGATTGAGTTGGGCGCGCGCGCTTGTTTAAAAGACAATAATATCACTCAACATTTACTTACGTTTTCGAATTGGTGGCGGTGTTAGTAACGGCGCCGTCTCCGGCACCGTAGTTAGCAAGTGAACATGAGGCATAAATTGGCCACTGCGCTGACGTGGTAACGACTGGAACGACCAGTTGTTGGTTGCTGAGCTGCAAATACGATTGTTGTTTGTACATTGTTATTTTTTTCAATTACAGTTTTGATTTGTTTATTTTGCTGTATTATCACTACCATTATTGGCAAATGTTTGGCTTATCACGTCTGACTTCAAATTCGGCTTTATTTTGATTTTTTCTACTAGGCGCTAATTGATACCAAATTTGCTTTGTTACTACGTTTTTATATGAGTCATATGAATGTGATTGTGAGTGTTTGTATATGGGTTTCGATTGGATCTACAACTGTATTAGGCGGCTTTACCCGCTGTTGCGCTTTCGTGTCGTGTCGCATGGGAATCCCTCAAGCGATTTAAATAAAATACATTTCTTGGTCACTTTGTGTCAGCAATTTTATGACTTGGCTAAAATTACACAAAAGTTCTTGACACTTCAAAAAAACTAAACAAATAAGCTTATCAAGCTGCTATGTATGTTGTTGCAGATGTGTATTAACTTTTCAACAGTAGTATTTATCAAATGTTTCTGTTGTCGTAATATTTTCTGATAGGCATAAAACCAATAAACTTTTAACTAAAGAATTGGCATGGTATGGCACGGTCTTTTCAATATTTATTATGCTCATAAATTTTATTGATGCCGCTGGCTGTCTGGCATTTAACACATGCTTAAGCTTTGCAAGCCAAAAACAAACAAATTTTATTTTATAGCAGGAACGAATTAATAAATTAATGAAATTCTGCATTTTACTGCTGCTGCTCTTTTGCTGTTGTTCTTGGTGTTTGTTTCTACCTTTGCGGCATTTTATTCCTTTTATCAATGGCAATGGCAAACACAGACACACGTATCACGCGACAATGTCAAAGTACTGAGTACGACACGCACGTTAAAACAGTTAGTTTGTTAGTTAGTTAGTTAGTTTGTTAGTTAGTTAGTTAAAATGGTATGTATGTACGTACGTAGAATGTATGTCCGCGCGTGCTCGTAAGCCCCCAAAACCGAAACCGATACCCCAACGCGACGGCCCCAAGAAAACGCTAGCGAGCGATCGCAACGCCAAATGGTCAATGGCAGCGCTCAACGCTCGAGGCCGCCGATGTGTAGAGTTAACGTAGTTAGCAATAAACTTGATGAGGTGAGCTTTTTCGTTCAGCGTTCTCTGTTGCCAGCTTTCTTTGAGCGCCAGCTCGCGCAGCGAGCTTGTCTCCACAACAATATTTGTACCCCCCAGTCCCCGAAAACCACAATAAACATTATGTTATCAACGATCGGCGCAATGCGACGTCGACGTCGCGACGATCCGGTAACAAACAGCAACAACGTAATGTTGTGGCATTGTATTAGTTCTTTATTTATTCATTTTTTTAACTTTTATTTTGCATACACGTTTATCTCACATTTTTATGTGTGTTCGGTTTTATATAAAAAGTAGTACAAAAAGTTCTAACATTATTATAATATTTTGTTGTTGTGTTTTAAATTTAAATGTAGATTTGTTTATAAAATGAAACAAATGTGCAAATATAAACAAACAAACAAACGTGTGCCCAACAGGTGTGTATTGTGTGTGAGTGTGTCAGTGTGTGTGTTTGCGTGTGAGTGTATATTGTGTGTGTGTCTGTTTGTGTTGGTGTTGGTGTGTATATTGTGGGTGGGTGTGCGCGAGTGTGTGGGTGTATGTGGGGCGCATTGCGTTTATTTACTCGCCGGTCATCATCTCCATGAATTCTGTAAATTAAACAAAATGACAGACATTAAACCGATGTGATGGCTTGCTGAACTGAACAACCGCTATATGCAGTTTATAAATAACATTCTTAAATGTTTCACACACAAAACACAAAATGGAAAACATTTAGTGGGTGTGTGTGTGTGTGTAAGTATGTGTGTGTTTGTATGTCGCGCCTAAAAATAGCCTCGATATGCTCCATAACGATCAAGTTGTCATAATTAAGAAATCTCAAGATCACCAGTGTCTAGCTGATGTTGATATTTGAATTTGTAATTTATGGCCACAATATGTTGTTCAACTATATGGGCACACACCACAACTACATATGTGTGTGTGTGTTTTTTTTTTTGTGGTAAAGAACGCAAGCCATTATAAGCTCTTGAGTTTTCTTTGATTTGTATTTTGGAGAACGCCCACTCACCATCAAAATCAACTGTGCCGGAACCATCACTATCGATTTCCTCAATCATGATATCCAATTCTTGCTCAGTCAACTGATCGTCCAGTTCCTTCAGGATTTCCTTCAGGCAAGTGGTAGGGATGAAACCATTGCCCTGCTTGTCGTAGAGACGGAAGGCTTCACGCAACTCCTTCTGCATGGCCTCAGCATCCTCCTCAACAATGAATTTGGCAGCCAATTGCACGAACTCACCGAATTCCAAGCGACCAGACTCTGAAGGCAAATTGGAAGATTTGTGTTAATAAAAAAATTAGTAAAGATTTAATTAATTACTACTCTGATTTAATATTTAAACGATGCCTTAAGCTCGTGAGTTTAAAAATAAATGTGTTAAAGCACAGCAATATGATCGTCTATGTGGATTTTAAAACATATTTTAACACCTCAACCGAGGGTGAATCCCCAGGTGGGGTTGCCTCAAGAGCAAAATATTATCCATTATCTTATTTTAACCGGTTTTAGGCTTAATAAATGTATATTTTGTTGAGATTTAAAAGTGTACTTACTATCCTCATCAACTTCTTCAATCAGTTCCTCCAAAATCTTCTTGTCGAAGGGCTGACCTGCAAGTTGTATAAATTTAGATAAAAATAATATTTATGTTTAAAAAAAAAATAATTACCCATAAGGCGCAGAATATCGGCAACCATTTCTGTGGGAATACTGCCAGTCTTCTGATGATCGAAGCTGTTGAAGGCCTTCTGGAGCACAGCAATTTGCTCGGGTGTCAGATCATCATCCTGTTTGAAAAACATCCAAAAAAACATTGTGTAAGTATAGGGGACAAAATGTTACTCGACAAACTACAAATTGTAATTAGGTACCTAATACATAATAAAACCTTTTAAGCTTATAAAAACTCGAAATATATTCATTCTACGAGAAAAAAAGACAGAAAACATCATTAGTAAACAGGCACTGGCTTCTAGAAACCTGAAACCCAATGTAGTTGTCAGCTTTGTATGATTCTAACCATACAATAAAATAATGATAATGGATAGATAAGAAAGAAGTTAAGTTTAAATGATGCTTGAACCAAATGTCTTCAAATTATTTTAAACTTTTAAAAAGTTTTGACCGATATTTTAACAACTAGATGTGTATTTTCACGAAATTATAAAAGTCTTCGGCTTGTCTGAATAAAAACTTATTTGGCAGGATCAGAAACTTCAATTTAAATTAGTATTTTAAAAAGTAGGATTTGTTCCAACAATTTTATCATCTTAAATAGTCACTTGCAGATTTCGAGTTCATATGTTAGCAAATTTTCAAAAACTTCCAAAAAATGTTTGATTTCAATTATAAATGGAATTTTCTTACAACGCTGCTCATGTTGGTGCTTTTTTATAATTTTCTCTTTTCACGCGTAAAAATCAAATCGGACCGATCACCACGGAGAATTCGTGCCAACTACAACGTTACGCGGCTGAGTTTTCCAAAATATAGCGCAAAAATTCAGATCGACTGTCTGAACTTGCCACAACCAATACACGGACTCGACATTTCAAATACATATGTACACATATAGGATGTATGTATGCATGTACATATGCGTGTAGCGCTTTTCCAAGCAGCTTGTGAATTTTATTGTTTTTTAGAAAGAACTGTAAATGTGCGCGATCAAGAACAAAATTAAACTTGGGCGCACACACAAGACAACCAACGACGACAGGCATAGGCGGCATCGACGAGTAAAATCCGAGTCGTATAATGGTTTTCGATAGACAACAACAACACCGGCATTTTGGTCAGGAGCAGAGAAGATTGTGGGCTGCACAGGCATTAGCGAGCTATAATGCGATGCGTTGCGTCTTGTTTTTACTGAACATTCAACGCTATAGCGTCTATGTATACTCGAATACTTGTATGGTAGGCCTATATATACATACTGCATGTACATACATATTTGTATATGTATCTACACATATACATATGTATGTATATGTCTATATATAATGGGCAAATGCATAAAAGCGTCGCACAATATGGAGAAATGCCCCACTGAAGCATGATGTGTGCTCTACACCAACTAAGGGGGATACATTGCTTTCTGTAGGAGGTGCAGAGGGAAATAATTACTTTATAAAATTAACACGCATGCATATTCAAAACATCAAACCAGTTTTTGAAAATATACTACTGCTGACCCCTTCAATTTTCTATGAACGAGTCCCTTATACAGAGACAAAACAAGAATGCAATGTTACAGTCATTTAACGCCGACTGTTATATGTACCCTGCACCACCAAGATCTTCTCAACTTATTGATTTTGTAACAAAATTCAATTACATGTTGGTTCACCACTTTCTATCAATAAAGAAGGAAATTTGTCACTTGCAGAATAGAAGTAAAGTATTTTATTGATTTCGTTGTATGTATATCGTTTGAAGACCTACTACATGGTTAATAAGAAATTTACATGGCCACGTTAGGGCGTAGTAGTAAAATGTTGCAGAGGTAAGCCTTAACGTTAGTGACTAACTTCTTCAAATTTTTAATAGTACGCCCAACAATAACCTTCCTAAAATTCATTAGCGAGCTACCAATAAACGCCCACGACATGCTCGCCACACAGCTGCCCGCACTTCAACCGTATCGTCTACCTTTTCGATCACACGTCTCTGTGGCACCCCCTTTTGGTTCACTGGGTAGGCCCGACCCTCTAGCCAACCGTACATTTGGTTCTCTGTGAGTGGCGTATAGCGATGTTTTCGCAAATCGAAAGTCTTGCGATTGTCCAGGAGCTCCAAATGTCGCTTCGCAATCGGACTTTCCTTGTCTTTGACTTCATCGTGACGGGCGTAGAATTTTCTTGTAAGTGGATGGATGACGTAGTTGGGTTGAAATTGTTTGCGATCGCCACGACGTGAATTACAGGCCCAGCGATCTGAGCAAAGCACTGGACAGCAATTCATTTTGGGGTGACTGCGAATTATATTTTAATGTTGAACTATTAACTAGATACAATAATTAAATACTAGGCTTGCTTAGGTTCGAAACTTGCTGGTGTTGCTGTTGCTGCCGGCATTTGTCGAGCTGCTCCCACCACTACCACTGTGCGGATTGTTAAGCAGAGCCGTCAAGGTGGCGTGTGAAGAGCTGAGCGTGGAGCTTGCCACCAATTTGGTCTTCAAAGGAGTCGTTGTGCTGCCAACTACAGTGCCTTGCAAACAAGGTGCGGCTGCTGAAACGGGCAGCTCCTTGAGGGCGACTTCTTCAATTTGCACCGTCTGCTGTGGTTGCTGCAGTTGTAGTTGAAGTTGTTGCTGCTGCTGCTGTAATTGCTGTTGCTGTGCCGGCTGGGTCTGCGTGACGCCCTGCAGCAAGGCATTGCGCAAATGACTGTTGTTGCCCGCCTGCTGTTGTTGTTGCTGCTGTTGCTGATTGTTGGCCACTATGAAGGAATTGGTGATCAGGCCGCGACTCTTAATGTTTAGATCCACAAAAAACATTTTCATTTTCTGTATCATGGGTTCGGTTACATTGAAAGTAAGCATCATGCTGAGATCTATGTTGGACTTATGGCGATACAATTCGTGGGTTTGCTGCAAACGACAAACCTCATCATAGATGAGAAAAAGAAAACGTGAGCTTCGATTTTCGGCAGGTATGATGCCTTGGGTAGCCATCCAGTTGCGATCCTCTGCATCGGGCAGATAGCGTATGAGCTCGGGATGCTTACTGGCCAGTCGCTCCTTGCCATCAGTGCCAAAGCCAAAAGCCAAGTTTGCCTGAACATCAAGTACGAATTTGGTGGTTGTAGAGATTTGCGAGGTATTCCAAAAGATCTGGCGACGCACGGGTGTGGGCAAGGTGCCACCCACAAGGGGCGTAACATGTTGGCGTTGCTGCAGCTGTTGTTGTTGCTGCTGTGGCTGTAGTTGTTGTTGTTGTAGCTGCTGCTGCTGCTGCTGCATGAGGACTGGCAGCTCATTTTGAATTGTTGGATTGCAGGGTAGGGACTTAACGATATAGCCCAAATTGTTGTTGCAGAGTTTATTAGCCTGACCATAATCATTGCCATTCAGTTTCGAGTTAGCTGGTCTCTTTAATGCCAAGCGTTGCTGTTCGGAAATTCCAACAATTGGTTGCCGTTGTTGACGTGCAAAGTGCGTGTATTGGGTCTTTGCGTTTTCCAGCAGCGCGCAGGACATTTTCTGTAGCATTTCCTCGTTGATGGCATGCTGACCTAGATTCTCTTTGATGTTGGCAAAGGCAGGTTTGAAATAGTCCTGCAATTAAACGAGTCTTTCAATTGGGGGTAATTTAAACTATATGGTGGGTACATACGTCCATGTAACGCTTGATTATCTCATTCACTTCCAGATCGAAGGAACGTTGCACACTAATCCGCAGCAGCTCTAGAGAGCGCATGGCCGACTCGGCACTGCCCCCGCTCTCCATGTGCTGTCCACTGCTTAGGCGTTGACGTATGCGTTGCAACATTGTCTCGGCCATCTCTGATGTAGTCACATATTTCTAAACAAATGAAAGATTAGTGGAGGTTTGTTAAGCTTCTCTTTTCATTGCCATACCACAGCGGGCTCCGCTGTCTCGCTCAGAGTGGACAACTTCAAGGACTCTGCTGTGTCTGTCTCTGCGCCTTTTCTGGCGCCTTCAGCGGCCGCCATCGGACTAGCTACACGCGTGTCCATGGAATGTGTTGTCTGGTTGGAGCAATCGGAGTCATCTGAGGAGGAAGTGGCCTGCAATGCTGTGGGAGAACGTTGCTGACCATCGATGGTGGCACTGCTGCTTGTTGTGCCCCCTGCGTCGCTTAAGATTTTCCAACTCCGTTGTATTACCATGTCTATATTGTCTTTAATTGCGTTTTACTTTGACTTTTACAGTTAATTATTTTTAATTATTGGATGATTAACAGTCGCTTTTCATATTGCTTGTAATTTTCTTTTCGCTGCAGCTCTCACAGGCTCTAACATGCTGGCCAGGGCCGCGCACTCAGTGCGCAGCTGCATGAAAATCAACCACCAACTCTCCCACCTTCAGTATCACTAATGTGGCGGCAACTTAGCAGGTTGCCGCCACTTCACATTCCATATCCAGTTCGCCTAACTCCAAGCGACGGTCGTGGTCCAACAATATTTGTAAGCTCTCAAAATCTTCGTCTCCCTCTGGATCCGCAACATCCATTTCATTGTATACTTCCTCAGTAGCCGCTGTTTTTGCAGCTTTTGCTCGCATTTTCATCAGCTTCCTCTGCTCCAGCAATTTTCTATCGAACTCATCCATGTATGCCAGCGCAGCTGCTCCATCATAATCTTCAGGAGCCTCGTAGCCCGCATTAATAGGCATTCCAAGCACATCAGGCAGCATGAAGGCAAAAAGCCAGCAAACCAAAGGCGTGGTGCCGCAAGTGTAACTTGCATCCTTATGGTAAAAGAGCAGACCATCCAGACGTGGCTTATCCTCCAGCCAAAGTGGATAGCGTTGCAGCGCTTCCTCCACTACCGGTGCATTCTCAAAGTCGTAGTAGTTGAGTAGTTGGAAGGCTTTCTCATTTCGCTTACTGCGCTCTGTCAATTCAGGGTGTTCCTCGAAGCGCGCCTGCAGCCAATAAAAGCGAAAACTTGCTTCGCACTCCAACAACTGTTGCTGACCAAAAGTGAGCGCGTCCAGCACATAGAAACAGTTTAAATCCGGCACGTACACGCAATCTAACACGGTCTTGCACTTTTGCACGTGCCCATCGCCCGGCAGAAGGGTGCGGATCTGCATAATTTGCCGGCCTGCCTTATTGTACACCTTCGTCCGTCCATTGGCAGCCACTACCAAGCAACGTTTACCGCTTGGACAAGGCACAAGGAGCCAATCGCTGAGGTTCTTTGGTCGCTGACGCAGCCATTCCGACTGCTGCAGTCGAAAGTGTTGTTGCCCCTTTTGATTCTTGTTTTGTTGCTTCCTCGCCTTGGGCAGTTGTTGTTGTTGCTGTTGTTCTTCGCCTTGTTCGGGCTCCGTAGTCAGAGCTTCTAAATGCCGGCTCTCATCTTGTGAATTTAGGCGGCGTTGTCTTTGTTCATTTAGCAACTGTTGTTGCCGCAGTTGTTGCTGCACACCAATATCCACACCCTTTTTATAAAGATCCTTATGATGCATCATAACATAAAGGTATATTATCTTAACAAATCAGGTACTTTTAAACGTTTAAATTTGCATAAGCTATATGCAATTTCTTTGGATATGACGGCGAATTCGCAGGGTTGCCGTATGTACAAATGGTACTTTATGTACTCGATACCTTTTTGCTAACAGCTGTTCCTGCCCATTTGATAACGTACTTTTGCACCGACATATGCAATCGTTGGCTTAGCCATTTCGTTATTTATTATTACAAAACATGAATAAAGCCTCACGTATTTTCTGGCCCGTGCTGGTCACGCCTAAAAATGCCATTGTAAAGCACACAGAGCAATTGTCGCGCAGTCAAAAGGTAACACAGGCAGACACTGTTATGAAAGAATTGAAACAACAACAATCTTCTCATAGCTGCTAACAGAAATGGGTTTGGTCAAACCAGGCAGCAATGGTACGTTCCAGATCATGCCGATTTGCCAACGCGTACTGGACAAATGCACAGAGCTGGTGCAACAAAATATGCAAAATGCCGGAGGTCAAAAGATAACACTACCCATACTTACGCCAACACAACTATGGAAGAAAACCGGCCGGCTCGATGGCGACATCTCTGAGTTTTATATGGTGCGGGATAGAAGTGGAAAGCAGTTCCTCATGAGTCCAGTGAGTTAGTGTCGGTATTTAAAAGCAGACTATGCAATTATTATATTTGTCTTCTTCCCATTGACATCAATTAGACCCACGAAGAGGCGATAACTGCAATGTTAGCCACCAACGCACCCATTTCGTATCGTCAACTACCCCTGCGTCTCTATCAAATAGGACCCAAATTTCGGGATGAGCTGAAGTCACGATTCGGCTTAATGCGTGCCAAGGAGTTTTTGATGAAGGACATGTACACGTTTGACCTCTCCACTGAAGCTGCAAAAGACACATACACGGCAATCAGCGCGGCATATGACCACCTTTTCAATCAGCTGGAGGTGCCCTTTGTCAAAGGTGGGCTGTGAAAATGTAAATCATAAACAAAACTTATACTTATTTCTTAAATCCCTGCAGTAAATGCAGCCACTGGCATGATGGGCGGCAGTCTATCGCATGAGTATCATTACATATCAGCTGTAGGAGAGGACACGTTGCTGCAATGTCAGGTTTGCAATTATGCCGGCAATGCTGAAATATTGGGAGAGACAGAATCAGCCGAGAGTGCTAAGTGCCCCAATTGCAATGGAGTGAATTTAAGTCAAGTGCGTGGCATTGAAGTCGCGCACACGTTTCTGCTCGGCGACAAATACTCTAAGCCACTTGGTGCTACTTTCCTAAACACCGCCGGCAAGCCAGAGCCCCTAATAATGGGATGTTATGGCATAGGAATAACACGCGTTATTGCTGCAGCCCTGGAGGTTCTCTCTAGTGAACAGGAATTGCGTTGGCCCAAGCTGCTGGCGCCCTTTGATGTCTGCGTGATTGGTCCCAAGCAAGGCAGCAAGGAACAGCAAGTTGCGGAGAGCATAGAAACCGAATTGCTATCGCAGCTCACACAAATTTGTCGAGCTCAAGACCTATTGCATGATGATCGCAAGGATTTAACCATTGGCAAACGTTTGCTAGATGCCAAGCGACTCGGCCATCCTCTAATCATTGTGGTGGGCGCAAAGGCCGCACAAGCAGAGGCGCCCAAACTAGAGATTCATGTTAGTGGATCAGAGAAACAGGATCTCGACAGAGAAGCAGTATTAAGGGTAGTGGCAGCGCATATAAAACGAAAGCGGAAACTCCTGACTTTCACTGATAACACAGAAACGGCACCTGCATCTATGAAACAGCAGAGTGCATTATTTAACTAATAAGTAGTCGTACGGTTGGACATCTACATTAGCTTTATGCAATAAAGTTAACAATAACTCAAACATAACTTATAACTTATACCGCATACACGTGCTTTCATCATTTCCTTCACGCACAGGAAAGACAAAGGTGTTCCATATTTTCAATTAATAGTCCACATAGTCTGGTTCCGGTATTTGCGGATAGATCTGTACCTGCTGTTGTGGCTTGCGCGGTGGTGGCGGCGGTTTCGTTATCATACTTGTGTAAGACCAGGGCATCTGATTTCGCAGCTCTGCGCTGACGCGTGGATTGGGTTGCTGCTGCGGCAAGGAGTAGGCGTCAGCATAGCGAGAGTTTAATGTGGAAGTGGCCGCCAATTGCTGAGCGGCTGGCGAGTTGGCTCGCTGTGGGGACACGGGCTCCACTGGCGGATAATTCAGGCTATCGGGGTGAGCATCGGTGGTACGATAGGTGTTATTTTCAGGGTGGGGTTGAATCTCTGGCGTCATGGGCGGCGCGCTTCCCTGCTGTTGCGGCACCTGTGGCGGCAATATAGCCACTGGGGACTGCAAAGTGGTGCGATCACTGGGCCTGTACACACGTGAATCCTGTTGCTGCAGTTGATCCACATTTTGGGCGGGAATTATAATGGGCAATGGCTTGGGTCTTATCTGCTCCGGATACTGTTCGACATAATTGGGTGGCTGAGTCGATGACTGCTGCTGTGGACTGGTTTCTGCCACCGATACTTGACGGACGACTAGCGCTTCTGGTTGGGGCGTCTGTTGACGAGTAGGCGCCTGACTGGGCGCAACGCTCTTGGGTTTCGCCTGACTGGCTAAGATGCGCGACAGCGACAGACAAAAGCTGGCACCGAATAAGTTCAGCAGCCAAATGAGCACGACGCGGCTACTCAAGCAAGTTAGCACAATGGCTGGAGTAGTAAAGTAAACGCCATAGGGCTCTAGAGAACTCCAGATGGTGCTTGCATATGGTTCATCGGGCTTCGTAGCGCCTATATAGTTCAAGGCGCTGTCCAGTGACTAAATGGGAAGTTATAATTGTTATTATGTACATAATTAAGATTGCTAGTTTCAGCATACCGTTGTGTTGCTAATGTCTATAGCATGATAGACTGTGGCCACTACGTCCAAAATGCTGCCTGCTAATATGACTAAAAACCATGGCCAGTATATGGCGCCGGAAATAACTTTGGTGGTCGTACTGCAAAGTGTTGCTGTAAAAAAGATGCGAAGTCAATCATTTTTAAATCTCTTGTTCATTCTCATAATCCGCTACTTACCCAGCACGAGGAACGAGGTAACCACCCACAGGCCACTAACAGCAGCGTAGGTTATCATAAAGATGAATTCACGATTCGTTATCGCAAACGATTTGGGCCAATCCATTGGCAAACTGATTACGTACTCTCCATAAGTTACAGTTGGATCACCGCAGCTCTCATCTGATAATGGAAAAATATGAAACAAAGTCAAAAAACAGTCATTGAACTGAAATCACTTAATTAAAAATGAAAACGAATTAAGAAGTAATAAATACCAAGTTGGATTACGATTTGTTATATCATATCATATCATAAGTGACTGCAATAACTCTTATATAGGTTTTGCTTTTAGCCACTTTAATACTAAGTATCTACAAGTATGTAAAGGTATCTAAGAGTATAATCCAAGTCTGCTGCTAAGTTTGATGTATCTAAGTGATATTGGCCAGACAACAGACAACGTAGCTATGTATATAGATTCGCTATATTTATGCTTTCTGCTACGATTTCTATTCATTAGATTGTCATAGTAGAATCAGAAAGGACCAGGAGTAATATTTGGTTATATGTGGAAAAAGCAGAACCAATATGTTGGATCTCTTTTCAGAAGAATTTGCACCCAAAATTTTTGGTTTGTCTAAAAATAAACTTAAGTTGATTTATGCTCAAGTACTTGTGTATCCCTTAGGCCAGCCTGGTTGATTAAGATTATAACGACCATAAAGATAAATCGCTTGACTCACCGGCAAAATAAATAAGATCTGTGGCAAACTTGAAGGGGTCGTCCATAAGATTTGTGGCCAGATTGCAGTTCCTTTGCGTTATTCCCCAAATGGAGAGGCCCAAATATATGACTCCTTGCAACTATTAAAAGCACACACACATTCACATTACCAGTATTTTAATATGAAAGCCTAAGCTTACCAGTATTACAACGGCCATGAAGAGTATAAAGCACTTGGCAAAGCCCACACTGACGCCCGCCATTTTCAGAGCAGGTTTTTAAATATGACCTGTCCTGGACTGTGTCGATCTTCTGTAGGTTTGCAGCTCGACTGGTGAACTGGAAGGTGGTTGAGAAACGCTGTTATTGTTGGGTAACTTGTGCTCAGTCTTAGCCGACGGGTTTTACCCCCGATAAGACCTAGGCTGTAAATTCAATTTCCATTTCTTAATATCGCATAAAGTACATATCTTATCACGCTAATGAACTCCGAGGATTTTGCATACAATTCACAATTACGGTTCCGGTGAATCACGCACGACGTGCACTTGTCACTGAATTACTCGGTACAAAAATATATACATAAATACGTGCATATATATATATTGTACATATATGATACGCATGGCTGTTATAAATGCCATGAAACTGTTATCTTGCTCACCGTTAGAATTGTTTTAATTAAGACAACACTCTGGCCCTAAAAAATGAAGCTTGTGTGCCACCGTCGACGGCTTCCTTGAAACTGAAAACATTGAGAGCACTATTGGCTTCCAACAGCTGTGCGATGTATGATGGTTTATACGAATGGCCATCGACATTGCTGCCTTCTGCGCTCTTCTGTGCTGTTTTGGCGGCGATAAGATAAGCCAAATGAAATTTTAAGGGTAACACGTCCGTTATCAAAACAGACGTAGCTGAGAAGAAACTTCAGGCTAACACGAAAGAGACGCCGAAAATATGATCGAGTGGAAGGAAGCGGAGCACTTTAAACCAAAGAAAAGTCGCGGCATACTTGGCGTATGCGCAATACAAGTATGAATTATGCACTGCACTTCATCCATAACACTGCTCTCTTTAATATAAATTGCGAGCATCTTATCTATCATTAGCGCTTATCTATTTGCTCATTTTATTGTACCGAGTACTACAATAGAACATGCCCCCAACACTAAACAAATAATATGAAGAATAATATTGATATCAAATTAGCATAAGCACACAATAAAACCCAACAAAAAACGTGTGCTTTGAAAATTGTTGTGCTAATTTAAGTTGCGTATTTGATAATGACTATTACTGGCCAGTATTTGAATTATTGGGCTTTAAATCAGCGAATCAGCAAACATTGTCTAATTTCTGGTCATGTGAAAGCCCATTGATCACTATTTGCACTCATGTACGAGGGTGTTTGCTTTTATCAATTGGTGCCGTGTATGTAAGTTTTCAATCGCCTACTGATAGATACATCTACATATATTTCTCTGACTCATGATTATATTGATAGACAAATAATAAATAATAACATAAAAACAACAATGAGAAAAGGTGGCCACTTCGCGGTAGTCGTCGAAGATAACACTCTCTATTGATTACTTATTTACAATAAAACTTGTATCAAATTACCCAACTTAAAGCATATGTACGTAGTTGATTCTATTAAAATGTAATCCTACAAAACTAAAGGGAGAAAAGCTTACTATTGTAGTTATCTAAACACAGCACAAGCAATGGCGAAAGAATTTTCATTTCTTATCAGACAACTATAAATAAATTAACAAATATGTTGACGCAAGCGTAAATGTGTAAATAATATTTAATGAATACCTAAAAGGTATAGATAGTTACAAAAGTAAACCAACTCTTCTAATCCCAGACGACTGTAATTTCATAATTATAATTTCGATTGTATACTTAGTATTACTTCTTTGCAGAAGTTAAGTTCAAGAAATCGTTGTCAATCAAATGCACAATGCATGACAGCGTTTCTGATTTTGTTATCAGATTTCAAAGATATTTGAAAAGAAATTGTGTAGAAAATAGTATATTGCAACTCCATCTATCAGCTATCATCTTTTTACATTTTCAAATGAATTTTTAGCATTGATAGCGAAATATCAATTCAATGTTAATTTGCATTCCATTTCTAAGACCTGATAGAATTAAAATATAAAAAAGAAGAAACAAATGAGTATAACAATATTGATCGAATAGGTTCACATTTTTTCGTTTTAATACAATTATTAAAAATATCCAATTTACATTTTGAAATATTAAATCCAATTTAAGCCTACACTGTAAAAATCACCTTTAAACTTATTAAAAAATCGCAAAAGTTTCTTGTAATAAAAATGTTTTTCACCTTAAATACAGAATTTCCCAAAATAAGATTGTTTATTTTGTTAATAAAGAATGTTTAACAGAATGAGAAAGATCTCTTAATATATATTTTCTAAAATAAGGCACGATTTTCTAAGAATAAGAAATGTACTTATTGACTCAGAATGTGAGCTGAATTATTTGTGAAATAAGAAATATAATCTTTTAAAACAGACAAATTTTGAAATTATTTTAGAAATAAGTTTCTTCAAAAAGAATTTTTGTATTTATAATATGTATTACTTTTTAATTAATTATTCCCAAAAGCTTAATGTTTTCAAAACTTTTTGAAATTATTAGCAATTACTTGTCCGTCTTTAATGGGTTCAGTATTTTTGCTTACAATTATAAGATAATTTATAATATGCAATTTCTCTTCCGAGTTTCTAAAGTTTCTAAAGGAACTGCCAATAGCGAATTGCTTTGGTACGTTCCGAAAGCTAAATTTAATACATACTGTATTGAGCGGAGCAGGATTGGTGGGAGGATAATAATACGCGACAAAGTTTTGTGGATGAATGAACAACGTCGATAGCTCGACTGCTTTATTTATATATAAATTCTTATCCTAGTTCTTATGCTATCGCCTACATACTATCATCGATTCCTTATCTTCTACCATGTGTGCGTACTTTATCAGGTAGCTCATGTTAGCTAGCCGCAGCATGCTCATCCAGCGCGGTGGCGAGCCTGAGCTAATGATTTGTGTACTTACACATCCTTATCTATTAAGCTGGCGCCTGCCAGCTACGAAAATGTTGGTGTTATGTTCGGCATCTAAGGCCGAACTCATTATTATCTGTATAAGAGAGCATGTCTGTTTATCGAGGTTTTATCTATAACAATATGATAATGTACCATTCGTGGTCTAGACAGAGCAAATCTAGCTTATCAATTAATTTACATTTACTTAGGATCTCGTTAGAATTGAACATGCTCCCCACCTTGAAAGGACTCCCTTTCAACTAGTATTGTTTCTTAAGTTTAATTTTAATTATACACGATTACATATATTTTCTTAGTTTTTAGGATAAACGTGGTAAGGCAAATGTTACGGGTAGAAATTGGGTAGAAAGTTGGCACATCTTTTCAAAGATGATAACGATCGCCACGATGAGACAAAATCCGACAATCCAGGAGGTGATGCTGATACCGTAAAGTGCCATTTGATGCGTATCGAGATGAATCGGGAAATCGAAGATTGTTTTGATCCTTGGGATATCGCGTACCTTATATGTTTTGATTTCACCCTCTACCTGCATATGGCTTATTTCAGGCAAATGGCTGGACAGATTTACTGTTGGTAGACGGAAGTTAACATCCATAGTAGTATCCTCGTATGCCCACAAGTTGGCTTCTTCAGTTTGTAGGAAGCATCCTGTATTAAGTTGAAGGATCCCTTGACCAAATATGGTGAGGCTTGTGATATTTTCCTTGCAATGCATTTCCGCTGTTATTTTATTTGGCAGTGAAAATATCCAGGAGTTAGCCTTGTGAAGTTGAGCCCAATAATTTCGCGGGTTCATCACGTTTACCTGGCAGGTAGGCGGTAGCGTTTTTGTTTTTTGTAAAAGTAATATGTCGCAATTTGTAGCAGCGTTAACGTTGTATATTGGGTGGATTTGCGGACATAATAGCAGCCTTTCCATCTTTTGGCAGTAATTCAGATTTCCTTCTGTTAGTCCATAGAAACTGGCTGAGTTGTCATCGACGAGTATTTGAGTAAATTCGGGCTGAATACTGACGAATTTTCCATCGTGTAATGTGGGATATGGATAGATTACATAAGCTCTCATTTTATTGTGATTTATTAATGGGATTCTTATGTTAAATAACAGTGAGGTACTTGTAGCCCTCGTCGTTATTTTTGCAATTTTACCCAGCTCGACGGGATCCGTATCTGGTAATTGGACGCCCTCAGGCATATTTAGAGCCATGACTTGAATCTGCTGCTCAAATTGCTTCAACGGCATCAAGCTCCCCAGAAAATTCCCCTTAGTGTTCCAGACTACTGCGATGATGTCCCGCTGCAACTCTTCGAAGGCATCCATTCCAATTGAAAAGCTTTCTAATGCGGAAAGAATGTTATCGTTGTCTAGTTTCTTATTTATAGCACTTGACAACGTATACATCGTGTTGTTAATAACTTTGAAATTGTCCCAAATGACTTCATTCTGTTTCCGCATAATGGTTATTGTAGAATCCTGCACTGATGACTGGTTACGAATTAGGTCCCGGAGATACTCCTCGTTGTCTCTGCTCTGGTTGATTTTGTTGAGCAATACGTCCGCATGGTCTTCATCCATTAATCCAAATACGGCGTGGAAAACGTTGCCCATGAAACTGAGCGGCGCTCGAGGTTGTCGTTCTTTCTTGCTCCTCTGATTTTGAACAATAATGTCATTATTTTGTTCTAGCCTATTGAATTTGTTTTCTAACAGCTTCATCGTTGAGTCTAGAGTTGTGTCTTTTTGAATCTTCTCCTTAAGATGTAGTAATACGGACCAAGATGCTTCTATTCGATGCTTAAATGCCCAATACTCATCCAGATTTGCGTGAATAATTATATTCCATGATGTCCGCGTTAATCCCACGTCGCCAACGTTCTCAAAAAATATCCCTGCCTTATTTTCTAAATATTCTATTTTTTGACTCTTAACATTGTTAAATATCGACAAAAATGTTAAAATATATAAAATTACATTCTTATTTTTTAACTTTACAGGCTTGGGTTTATACTGTTCATTTTCATAACTATTTTGTATTTTATTTGGGTTACTTGTTTGTATTGCGGTTGTAACTACCGCAGTTGACGAGTTATCCTCGTCTTCGGCAGGAAAAGGACAAACATTGTGCACCGACCTCAGCGATATTCCATTGCTTGTCCTTACTTCTACCATTCTACAAAGGCCATCTTTACCTACAATGGTCTTTGTGACCCTGCCCCTCTTCCAATGCATTTGGGCCAGATTTTCTTCCTTTAATAATACAAGGGTTCCCGGTTTTAAATTTGGCATTACTTTATCCCACTTGTAACGCTTTTGCAATTCGGACAGATATTCTAACGACCACCTTTTCCAAAACTGTTCTTTGTTTTCTTGAACTGCCTTCCAGTGGTCTCGCAACCCTTTATAACTTTTACTGTCTACTGAGTCTACTATTGTAGAAAAAGACTCTCCCAATATAAAATGCCCTGGGGTTAGAACCTGAAGATCATTTGGATCTTCTGACAGCGGAGTTAATGGTCTTGAATTTAGTATCGCTTCTATTTCTATCATTAGTGTGGTCATTTCGTCAAAGGTCATTATTCCTTCTATAGAACGCGTAAAATGTTTTTTAACGGACTTCACGCATGCTTCCCAGAGTCCCCC